ACACGGCAGGCAGGGGGGCCTGGGAGCCAGGAGGCTGGCAGGCCTCCCAGCCCCCAGCAGGTCTTCACTCTGTCTGGGTTCTCCGGCCTTCTCTCTGCTTCTCTCTCGGCTTCTGCTGGCATCCCTGTGACACCCCCTTAAAAGCACAGTCTCAGCCCAGGTGAATCCCATCTACCTATGCCCACACCCTACTCCAGGTGCCCGCCATCAGGCATGCATTCAGGACCGCAAGGATCCATCATCTATCCTGATGGCAGGAGGGCAGAAAAGCCTGACATTTTTCCTTACCCTACAGCATCTCTTACATCATCAAATGAAATTATAATAATTCACTTAAAACATTTCTGGGTCTGTTGCTGTAGGGGGAGGACAGGACACAGTGCAGGTTTTCTGATCCCATGCAGACCGGGTAAAGGAGGAGTCAGAGTCCTCAGTGGTTTTGCAGGTCTTTTATTGGAGTTCACCAGGCATATGGCAGGCAGGGGTGCTGGCTGGGAGGCTGGCAGGTCAGCCCAGCAAGTCTTCACTCTATCTGGGCTCTCTAGCGTTCGTTCTGCTGCTTCTCGGCTTTTCTTTCGGCTTCTGCTTCGGCTTCTACTGCTGCTGCTTCGGCTTCTGCTGCTGCTGCTTCGGCTTCTGCTGCTGCTGCTGGCATCCCCGTGATGCCGCCCTTAAAAAGCACAGTCTTAACTCAGCTGAATCCCATCTACCTATGCCCACACCCTATTCCAGGTGCCCGCCATCAGGCATGCATTCAGGACAAGAATCCATCATCTATCCTGATGGCGGAAGGGCAGAAAAGCCTGATATTTTCTTTACCCTACAGCTGCTTACTAACTAAGCGATGCTGGACCGTAGCCTGTTTCCTTATCTGTAAAATGTAGGCAGCAATGCCTTCAGGTCATAGGATTGAAGATATTAAACAAGATATTGCATGCACATCACTTAGCATAATCCGATTACCTGTCTGCTAGGTAATCAATGGCTATTGGCTACTGCAATTAATATGGTCGTCTATATTATCATTGTTTATTGCCTTGTATGGTAATTGTGAGGATGAGCTAAAATAATGCATATTGTATATACTAGCACAGTGCCAGGCACTGTGTGTGTTTTTTAACAGTGCAGAGAAATGTGATACACCAGCATTGCACTCTGGGAGCGATGTGCTTTGGCAGTTCCTGGCTTAGGTGGTGGGACTCAGCGTGGACCCTCCCTATGTCTTTATTTTTTTATTTTAATATCTATTTATTTATGCATACAAGAACTGGGGTGTAGGCCAGAGGCACGGGGGGTGGAGTGGGGTGGAGCAAATTCATGAAAGAGACTGGGGAGCAGAACAAGCGGATCAGCTGAAATACACTGCTGAGGGGAGCAGTAGGCGAGACAGGAGAGGTCTAATGTGACACATGTGGGCCAACTCCTTGACCAGGGATTAACTCCTGCTTCAGTGGCTGGCAATAGCTTAATAGTGCTGAAACTTTAACCCCTGTGCCACCAGGGATGCCCCCCTCCCTGTGTCGTTAGTATCACAAGACAGCCAAATGCACCAGGAGCCAGCAGTCCAGTGTCCTTTGCTGGACCCTGAACCATCAGATAAGCAACTTAAAATCTGAACTCTCCTACCTGCAGCCTCCTCTTGAGTGACAAATCCTGGGAGGAGGGATGCAGCAAATAATTATTAATTGCTCCTGAGATTTTGAATTAATCCAGTGTTGTCCATATACACAAAGGTCCATTGGGGGCACAAAAAAAAAAAATTAAAACTTGCGTTCCTATTTGTTTTTATTCTCTCTTTCACAATCTCTCTTTTTCATGAATACACAGCAGCATTTTGTATAATGGTAAAAATAATGTAGCATGAGGGTGCATGCTCCAACCCTCTTTATTGATAGGAATGTTCAAAATTATAGTTACAGTACTACTTCCATCTGGCAGTCGGCTGCCTGGTATAAATTACTTTCTTCTGTTGACCTGACTTTCAACCTCAAATACAGAAGATAAAGGAGTAGTTTACCAGCTTAATGTACCATAGTTTAGACCTGGGAGATCTCAGAAAGGATTATTCAAGTATTGGTAGTAGTAGTAAGTAGTAATAATATCACATATATTTTACCAATTTCCTAATGCATCATAAATAATGGTATCAAAGCAAAGTTAGGCAATACCGTTATTGAGGATTTTCAAATATAACTGTTTCCTAAGCACAGAAGTGTTCATCATGGCAGTAAACTTGGTGTACATTTACAAGAGAAAAGAAAGTTGAGTTTTGGGTTGAGTGGAGAAAAAAAATACTAGCTTTAAACATGAAATCTGAAACAACGAAAAGAGGTTCAACTTCCCTAGTAATCAGGAATGATTACTGATTGCAGACTGCCTGCAGATGCAAATTGAAACCTTAAAGTAAAACTCCTTGCCCGTCCTTTCAGCAGAAATGTCAGTCTGATGATTGCCCAGCATTGGTGGGATGTGGCATCGCTCTCCTGTAATGCTGCAAATCAGCACAGCATTTTGAAGGACAATTTGGCAACACTTTTGGAAATAAAAAAGGCTCCTGCCATTCATTGGCTCTGGATCTGCCTTCGGGAAGCACTCTTACAGGGCATGTACAGCCTGCTCATTGCAGTGCCGCTGTTAACAGCAGATAGCTAAAGCTGTTATTAGGGGAGCGGTTAAAAAAACTGTGATAAAAAAAATATATATATAATTCACATGTCATAAACTTCACAATCTTGAAGCGTGCAATTAAGTGCTTTTTAGTACATTCACAGGGTACTGCAACCATCATAATTGATTTTAGAACTTATTTATCACCCCCAAAAGAAACTCTATACCTTTTAGCTGCTGTCACAAAACCCTTCCCAGTCCTAAAGTAATTTCTATCTCTATTGCTTTGCCTATTGTCGATGTTTCATATAATTGGATCATAAAATACCTGTCTTTTTGTGTTTGGAGTCTTTCACTTAGCATGTTTTCACAAGTCATCCATGTTGTGGCATGTTAGTGCTTCATTCCTTTTTGTTGCTGAATAAAATTAAATTATGTATCTAGGTAAACCACATTTAGCTTGCCCATTTATCGTTAATGAACAGTTGGGTTTTTCCCTTTGACCTGTTATGACTAATACTGCTATGAACATCCATGTACACGTTTCTGTATGACCATATTTTTTCACTTCTCTTGGGTATTTGCTAGGTCAGATAGTAACTTTTGTTTCACTTTTTGAGGAATTAACCAAACTTTCCTACAGCGATTATACCATCTTACAACCTTGCCGGCAGTGTGTAAAGGCTCCAATTTCTCTATATCTTTGCCAGCACTTGCTGTCTTCCTATTTTTTTAGAATTCTATACATCCTTGTGGGGATCAAGTGGTATTTTACCATGATTTTGATTTGTGTTTCCCTAATGAATAATGGTGTGAGTGTCTTTTCAAAAGCGTGTTGGCCATTGTGTCTTGCAGAAATAATTGTTCAATTTAAGGCATTTTTATGCTGTGCTGTAGGACTGATAAAAGGGATAAGGCAGATGTATATGTAATCATCGCTGATTAGATCTCAAAGACAATACTGAGCAAAATAGCAAGTAGTACAATGATACAGTACTGTCAGTTTTATAAGAATACACACGGGCATGCCATATGTACAAACACACACACACACACACACACACACACACCAGTACTGTGTGGTTAAATATAAATAAATATGTAAGAGGATAGAGAATGGTCTGGTAAGATGCTTGGCTACCTTGGGACAGGAAGAGAGAACTAAGAAAGAAATGGGTGTGAGATCTTACCATATGATTTCACTTGTGTGGTATAGAGAGAAAACAGATGAACTAAATAAAACAAAAATAAACTTTTAGGCTGTAAGACCAGCTAGTGGCTACCAGAAGGGGAGGGGGAGAGAGAAGGAGAGTGGGTAAGTCAGAGAAAGGGAGACAATGATATAGGGAAGGAGAGATTTGGACTCATAGCGGTGACCTTAACCTGTAATATATACACATGTTGGTTCTTGATGATGAGCTCTTGAAACGAATATGATGCTATAATGCAATGCTTTTTTGATTAAAGAGGCGAGGGAATTTTGGTTTTGCTTATGACATTTTACAAAGTACTTGTGAACTTTTTGCTTGGTAAAAATGTGTATAAAAATTCCTCAAAAGCATTAGGGGGGTTTCTTCCGCTTTCTGCTGTTGGTGGAGAAAAGCTCCTTCCTCGGAAGGGAACAGGGAAAGACTTCCCCGCCAAGCGTCCACAGTGGTCTTTGTCCCAGATCAGCCCTCACCAGAGACTGTGATTTAGGAGGGCTCTGCTCTGGTGTCTTCCCCAAAAGCCCCCATGGTGATTCTGATGAGCCAGCAGGGTTAAGAATCATTTATCTAGTGAGTAAAGCAATTGTCTCCAAGGTGCTTCCTGGGGAATTATTTTTGGTAGGTCCTTTATGAGAGAATAATGAACCTGTCAGCTTTATGGAAACATGCCTGAACTTAGATGGTCTGTTTTGCTCCAGGAATTTCTCAGATTTTGCACTTGAGATGATTCGCTGCCTTTGGGTGTATCTCTATGTAGTCTACATAGTGCAGCCTTCCAATCCCGAAAAGGGGACCTGGGATTCTTGATTGAAAATAGTAGGACTGAGCTGCTTGAGGCAAACTTAGCTTGTAAGCCTTTTGCCATTTCACCCTGGAGATGGGTGGCGACAGCAAAAATGCCAGGTGGTGAGTCCACGTACCAGGAGGGCTACCCATGGGACTCGTTTTGTGAAGCTTTTTCTCCCTGCCACCCCTTGTTGATAGTGTTTGCCTGAGATGTGAGAAGCTCATGTGACTCACAAAACTTCACACTAATGTCCACTCTTCTTTCTTTTAGACATAAAACTTGCAGAAGTCCATAAAAACCATTTAGAGACCTACTAATACCATTTCTCTAAATAATAAATCTGAGTAATTTTTCCTCATACCTTGTATTTATGTTAAACTTCACATTTTCTCTTCTAGGTATTCTCATGGGAGCAGTTATAAAATTTATTGAGTTTAAAAAACTGGCAAATTGGAAGGTAGGTTTGCCTAAATGTTCTTGTTATCTTAAATGCAGCTTTTATTGGTTTTTCTTAATTTTAGCAACACTGATGGTTATGCTGACTTTCTTCTATTACTTCACATCAGTGAAGTTGCTTATATTGTCCTGTTAATTTTTTAACATTCTGTTAGAGTTGCTATCTTTACATCTGAGGTTATTTATCTTTTCTTGAAAAAGTATAAATTCCAGTTTCAAGTGAACATGGAAATACTCAATGGCATAGTTTTTTTTAATTTGTGTTTTTATAATCCTAGACTAACTTGCTATATAGGGGGAGGTTGTAATTAGCATTAAACATCAAGCAATGTTAATTGCTCCCAATTTCATTCTGACATCTGACGTGAGGATAATAAAACATTTGTCCAGCACTGTAGCACTTACAGGATGCTGTAACTCCTTTTGTCCCCATGACAACCACATGCTCTAGCTCCACCAGGTGTCATCATCCCCCTGGTGTTTACCGATGAGCAAGGTGACGCTCAGAGAAGCTAGGCCCAGGGCAACCTCACGGAGCTAGAAAGCGGCTGAGCTGCATCTCACTCCAACCCGCTGGTCCCACGTGCTCTGTATTTTCTCCACCTCATCCTGCCTACCTTGGTGCGGGGGTGCTTCTGCCCCGTGTCTACACAGTGGTGATGAGGGCAGGAGCATCATCTTTGGTCCAAGGACTAACTGGAACTCAAATTTCTTTCTTTTTTTTAAAAAGATTTATTTTATTTTTTTATGCATATAAGAGGTGGGGTATAGGCCAGAGATGCAGGGGGTGAGAGGATTCACCCGGACAGAATGGGGAGCAGAACAGGTGGATCTACTGAAACACACTGCTGAGGGGAGCAGCCAGGGAGACAGGAGAGGTCTGCTGCGCCATGTGCTGGCTGGGGATGGAACTCATGTTGCAGTGACTGCCGATATCTTCACAGTGCTGAGACTTAACCCCTTGCCCCACCAGGGAGGCCCCTGGAACTCAAATTTGAACTTAAACTTGAACATGCATTCTGGAAGAGAGGGATTAACAAGTGTGTTACAGAATGGATTTTGTGAAGGGAAGAAAGATCCATTTCAAAAAATGAAAGAATCATAGGGTTGAAATGTGTCACAGCTGAGCACCTCCTACTGGGAAGGGGCGCCTCCATGCTGGGACCCACTTACCTGTGAAACCAGAGAGTGTATAATCGCAGAGCAAGCCTCATAGTCTGACCTAAAAGAATATTTGAAACTGTTGTAAATATTATTCAGGAAAACTTGTATATATTAAATGAATCCTCAAATGTATATTGAACTCTAGTTACTTCCAGAGCCCCTCAGCTGTGGAGGGTTGGGGAGGGACTTGGGGAGACCCACTGGAGCACACTATGGGTGACAGCTCTGCCTCCCTGCAGCAGGCCAACTTAGCCTCCTCATAGTGGCTCAGGCTGGAACCTTCTCTCTGCTCCTAGGCTGGATGTAGTCTGATGTGTAGATACTGCCCACCAACACATTTGATTTGGTTTGGTTTAAAAATCAACAGATCAAATGGAAATTGGTTTTAAAGCAATTAAAATTGTTAGTTTGATTTAAAAATGTTATTTATCTATATAAAATTCTGGGAAATTCTCATAAAATTCTGAACTTCTAGCTTCTCTTAAAGAAGCAGAAGCTCTTAATACCAGACCCACATTCTCCCAGCAGGGGCCCGAGACACTGGGCTGTGGCCACTCCCAAGGTGATGTTGGGTGGGCCTGGGAAGCCTGTGAGTTGGTGGGTGGTGAGGAGGTTGCCCTTCACTTTTAGTTTTATATGCCTCAGTGAATTAATTTTTCAACAGATGTTACTTTTTAAATTAAAATAATAGTAATATGTTTAATAGTGCAGACAACTGAACTGGGAAATGAATGTAATTAAGTGCCTGAAGCGCCATCCCTGCAGCCAGAGCATGACCTCAGAGCAGGATGGGGCTTCCGGGCTGGGATGATGAGGACAGGCTTCCCGGAGGAACAAGTGTTCTGGAAAGCCAGAGTGGGAAACAGGACACCTGTTTGGAAACTGGCTGCTTCAGGGAGCAGTGGGAGTTAAGAGAAACAGTGAAGGAGCTTGTTTTCTTTCCATGAAGTTCTGTGTCCAAACAGTTGTGCTGGGCCTGCCTTTGGCTGGTATGGTCATGTTTAATATGTCTTCAAAGCAGCTTGCTTTTTTAGGTATGTGCATTTTTATAGCCTTTTTTTTTTTTTAGGAAAAGCTCTGGTGGCAAAATACAGATAACATAAAATTTAAAATTTTAGTCCCTTCTAAGTGTACAATCAAATAGTATTCACTACATTCCCAGTTTTGTGTAGTCATCGCCACTATTTCTTTCTAGAACTTTTTCATCGGCACAGACAGAAACTCTATCCCATTAAATAACAACTCCCTAATCCCTTGGGCCCCACTTTCTAGTCTCCTTTTTTGTATCTATATTTTTTTCTTTTTCCTTTTTTGGTAGTTCCTGTTCTACTTTCTATCTATGAGTTTGCCCAGTCTGAGTCCCTCATATGAGTGGAACCATGGCGTATTCGCCCTTTTGTGTCTGGCTTATTGTACTTTGGTTGGTGTTTTCAAGGTTCATTACGGCAAGTGTCAGAACTTCCCTGCCTTTGAGGCTGAATAATTTACTCATTGTTGGAATAGACCACACTTGGTTTGTCCATTCATCGCCGGTGAAGGGAGCTGTCTCCCCCTCTTGGCTATGGTGCATAATGTTACTATGAACATTGGCATACTGGATACATCTATGTTAAAGGAAACTTCTTAATATCGTGCCAGGTAGAAAACTGATTTCATAAATTTGATAAAATCAAAGTGTAGTACAGATATCTGTGGTAGCCTCTGAGGCCAAGCCTGTTCTCTCAAAAAGGGAGACGAGCACATTGGAGAGAGGCGCTCCTTAGGCAGCACCAGCTGAGGTGTCTGACTTAATTAGGATTGAAAAGCGTCAAAGGGGGGCGGACTCTCAGTCTGTGGGGCCCATGGTATTTGACACGCACTGTTCAGGTACCCCTGAAATGGTATTTGGTGACTTTAGGGGGTACCTGAATGTTGCCAAAAGGAACCTGGATCTCTTTCTAACACTGTACCCCTGTGAGGGGTAACAGAGTCCCCTGTGGCTTTGTCACACATCACCACATGCTGGGTAATGAAAGCTCCAGGCTGTTCTCTCATTCTGGAGGCCAGAAATCTGAAAGCAAGGTGTTGGCAGGGTTCCAGGGAGAGTCCCACGTGGCTGCCCTGCTTCTGTGTGCCCGGGTGTTCCCTGGCCTGAGGCAGAGTAGCTCCTGTCTGCCTGTCTTCACATGGCCTTTTGTGTCTCAGTGTCCTTTTCTGTCTCTTAAAAGGACGCTCTCAGGGTTAGGGCCTGCCCTATCCAGTGCTATCTCACCTGCATTCTTCCTTAATGACCTATGTAGAGACCCTATTTCCAAATAAGGTCATTTTTGGAGAGTCTAGGTGAACACAACTCAGGTCTGGAACTCTTGTGATCCCTGGCAGGTGTGTCCTCCTCCTCCCAGGGAAGGGCTTCATTTCTGAGATTCCAAGAGGAACTATCTACTGCCCAGGTCCTGAGAGTAAGTTCCACAAAGCTCAGAAATCGGCCCATTTCTCTTCACCTGGTCCCAGACTGAGTCATGAGCTTGTTGCACAGGCAGTTATTTTAAGGCTTAATAAGGCATTTTCAGAAGCCGTCATTTGCTCCTATTTTGAGCCTTTTGGAGCACTGTTTTAGTCTTTATGGTAACAGCTGTATATTTGTAAGACTACATTTAGTCACTCTTTGAAATAGGAATTTTGACAAAAAACCAGTCTGTCAAGATTGTGGCATGGAAATTTTCATCAGAAAAGGGGGCCTGCTCATGTGATATTAGATAGACTGTATCTTACATCTTGTCTTTTGGGCTTCAGGACAAATATTTATTTTTCCCAAATCCACCAACAAAGAGAGATGTAGCGATAGAAAATGAAATTATTTCATTTCCCCAACAATGGCCATATTCTAGAACTATCTTTCATAATGATACTTAGTATTTGGATCTGAAAGCGTGGCAGAGGGCTCACTTTACAGCCATGTCCCCTGTCATAAGGCCCTCGGGTGAGTTAGCAAAGCGGCCAGAGGAAGGGACAGTTGTCGCAAACCTGCGTAGGGTTTGCTTTTCTCAAAGTAGATTGTTTTAGGGCTTCCCTTTATCTTTTTCCTGGAGGATTCCAATTTGTCGACTTGTTTTGGAAAGTGTTCTGAATTATTTCTGTATTGAATCAGTTTTCTTTTTTTTATTTTTAAGATTTATTTTTATTTATACAAGAGCTGGGGTACAGGCCAGAGGCGCGGGAGGGTGAGAAGATTCACCAGAGACAGAGCAGGGAGCAGAACAGGCAGAAGGACTGAAGGCTCTGCTGAGGGGAGCAGCGGGCGGCACAGGAGAGGTCTGTCTCGCCATGGGGGATTCTCCCTGGCCGGCGGGGAATCGAACCAGCACTGAGGAGGCTGCGGACAGCTTCACAGCGTGGCGCTCAACCCGCTGCGCCACCGGGAGACCCTGAATCAGGTTTCTTATCCTCAGTAAAGAACAAAAGCATCCTGCTGTCTGTTTGGAAGCAATTTGTTCTGTTCTGTCTTCTGCCAATCACCTTTTGAAATATTTGTCCTACATTTTATTTTTTTTAAAAGATTTATTTATTTGTGCATACAAGAGCTGGGGCACAGGCCAGAGATGCGGGGCGTGAGAGGATCCACCAGAGACAGAGTGGGGAACAGAACAGGCAGATTAACTGAAATACCCTGCTGAGGGGAGCAGGCGAGACAGGAGAGGTCTGCCTCGTCATGTAGGTTTCTCCCTGGCCAGCCAGGGATCGAACTCATGCTGCAGAGGCTGCAGATTGCTTCACAGTGTGGTGCTTAACCCCTTGCGCCACCAGGGAGGCCCTGTCCCACATTTTAAATGCAGCTTTTGTTTTTGTTTTTGATATTGTTTTGTTTTTGTTTAGTTTTTTCCCTCCTTTCAGTTTTACTATCAGACAGTCATTTAAGCATCATATATTTCCACCAGGCCAGGCTCTAAGCGAAGAGTGACTCTGGCTCTTCATTGATGGATTGATTTCTTAATTATACAAATTTCATGCCTCTGAAAATACCCTTTTTATGTTTTCAGGAAGAGGAAATGTTTCGTCCAAATATGTTTTTCCTCCTGTTGCTTCCACCTATTATATTTGAGTCAGGATACTCGTTACACAAGGTAAGACTCAGGCACAGGTTGTGCTTTGGGGCCGCATGGCTCCCCAGGTTGGTAAGGCCAGTTCCCTGGCAGCTTGGGTATTAATTTAGCAGCGTCTCCATGTGAAACCCTGGGGTGCTTAGTGGCAGCTGGACTGCCCAGCCTTGCTGGTGGAGAGGAACAAGCATGGCCACTGGGCTGCTTTTATGGGCCAGCAGTGTGGCTTATTAAACTGGTATTTTTCATAGAGTGCCTTGCCCGGGGAAGATTGCCAAAGTGACAATACATTGACTCCTCTTGTTGGACACAGACTGACACGTGTTAAGAGGACAGGCTGTCCTGGAAGGAGAGGAAGGTGTGTTCCAGGCCTTTTGAGTCTCTCAGCTTGCCCGGTGGGACCTTGCCTTCCTTTTAGACCCACCCATCCTCACTGTCTCTCTGTTCTGCCCTGGGCCTCAGCTCCCAGCCAACAGTCCCTTTACCCCCAGTCTCCTTTCTCCACACCCTCTGCCTGGCCTAGCTCCTTAATAGGTTAGAGCCCCATTTTCCTCCTAGTTTTTCTAGCACCTTCTGGCCCATTCATCCAGTTCTATGGGTGCTCCACCCATGGTTCCTCAATCCTAGAAAGCAGCCTTATTGATTCCTGCCTGGGCAGCCTCATTTTTTTTTTTTTATTCTTTAAGATTTATCTTTTTTATATAAGAACTGGGGTACAGGCCAGATGCACAGGAGGGTGAGAGGATTCACCAGAGACAGAGTGGGGAAGAGAACAGGTAGACTGATGAAATACGCTGCTGAGGGGAGCAGCAGGCGAGTCAGGAAAAATCTGCTGCACCATGTGGGATTCTCGTAGGCCGGCTGGGATCAAACCAGCGCTGCAGAGGCTGCAGACAGTTTCACAGCACGGTGCTCAAACACCTGCACCACCAGGGGAGGCCCTGGGCAGCCTCATTGATATATGCCTGGGCAGGAACATCTCACTTTAAGCCAGTTTGTGTATACACTTGTTTTTTTTTCCCCCGTCTATGAGTTTTCTTTGAATATAAATGAATTTCAGTTTTAAAATGAAAAAATGATTCAACGTAAACTAAAATATTAGTAATACACGTTGTTTTGTGAATGTGGTTAAAAAAGCATAAAGGTTAGAAGGACTAAGCTTTGGCCCATCTTAGGAGAATGGAAAGAGCCGGGACTTGGGAGCAAGAGACCTAGATCTGATCATGTGCTGCCCCCTACAGGTTCCTCTTGGGTAGAATAGAAATTAAAAATCAAAACCAAAAAAAAAAAAAAAAAAACCAAAAACCTCCAAAACTCTACCTCCCAGGTTGTTTTGAAATTTATGCTAAATGAAAGAATGTATGTAAATTACCACCTACCATGTTAAATAAATACTAATCCTTCTTGTTGTTATCAATGTTATCTATTATTATCTATTATTAATATTGCTAGTACTACTGGTAATAGCTTATTAAACTTGAGAGTTAAATTTGTCAAGAGAGTTTTGGTAAAAACATACAAATTAAATCTTTAATCTTCCCCTGAGTACTAAAGCAAATATATTCTAAGATGTTTTATGCAGATTTCCTTGTTTTATTATGCATCTATCCACAGAAAAATTGAAAAATAAGTCCAATAAAAAATAAAAACACAACTTCCACATCTAATAAACCATAACTAACACCAGGTATTTGTTAAAAAGGAAACAAGCAAGAAGAAATTAAGGGTCTCCGTGTCTTTTTTCATTTTGTAAACACGTTAAAAGAACTATAAGCTGATTATAAAAATATCTCAAAATAGTACAGAGGGAGCTGATTTGATTTGACTTAAAAACATGACATTTCAATTATATCAGGGCACGCAAAGTATCTTCTAACATTTTGGAGGAGGGAAAATAAATGTACTTGTTCAAAATCTGGGGGAAATAATATTTCCTTAGGAAAACATTTCTTGGCACATGGCTTTTCAGCAAAGAATGTAACAATTTATGTGAAAGTGTTTAATGTGAGTTGAAAATGCCAGTTCAGAGACGTCTGTCCACTCCTCGTCCTCCCCCAAACAAGATAGGAAGTCAACTTTGATATTTTAATATTGCCGTGTTTGCTAATGTAAATTTGGACTGAGAATAAAAAGATTAGTAAGATTATTACCAGTTGAAACCCAGAGGACAAGGGGGAGCATAGTGCCCGGTGAGTGAGAGTTCTTCACGGGGTCAAACCTTCGAGACTTTGGCTGGCTTTTAGCTACATTTCAGGTAGAAGTGGGGGTCATAGTGAAGCCAGCACAATCAGATTTGTCTTTAGCAAAGATTTTTCTGGAAGTCCTTGGAGAATGGAGAGCAAGAGGCCAAGAATGGTTGAGACTAATTAGTCTTATTAGAGTTGTTATTAGACTTATTAGTCTCAACTTTTAGCTGTTGCAGTGGTCCAGGGACAGGTGATGGCAGCTTGGGCCAGGGTGGTGGAGATGACAGTGGAGAGAAGCAGGAAGATGTGAGTGATGTAAGGAAGGTAAGAGCCACAGGATTTGGCTCTGCATTAGATGTGGGGGTGAGGGAAGACTTCCAGGTTTCCAGCTTACCAAAGAGGGTGAATGAGGGTGCCCTTTACAGAGTACCAAGGGTGAGATTAGGCCTAGGCCAGGGGTCCCTGCCTTCACCAACTGGACCAACTTATCTAATCATTTCCTTCTTTCAAACAGGGTAACTTCTTTCAGAACATTGGTTCCATCACCCTGTTTGCTGTTTTTGGTACAGCAATTTCCGCTTTTGTTGTAGGTGGAGGAATTTATTTTCTGGGTCAGGTAAGAAAAACATCTTTGAAAGACTTGGCACATCTTACATTCTTAGAGTGAGTGCAGGCAGGCGGGTAGGGACTCTACATGGGACCTGGATTTCATGTTCAAGGTAATGTCATCCTTGAAGGAAATTCAGTTTCATACGAAGCATAGTAAAGGCATGCCAGAATTGTTCCTAAGTGTCCTCGAAGAGGTTTGGATCTGGAATTGAGTGAACTTTTCCCATAACCCTCCACAGTATTTGATCTCACTTGCAAACCAACATTGTCTTGTCGGAATTCCTAAAAGTAAAGCAAACTAGATGCCATGAAGATCTTCAAATTACAAACAAGTGTACATAGTGTTGTTGAAGAGACTGGATCAGGGATAAACGCTGTTAGGCTTTTTTTTTTTTTAATAAACATTTGCATTTTTTAAAAAATCCAAGATGATCCTGAATGTGTTCACTCAATTCTTACCTAGACCCTGTGGAATTAGAGATATTCTCTGCATTTTCTGCCATTGCTAAACCACCTCCTGGTATCATCACCTGGGTGATCTGTACTTTGGGTTCAAATTGATTTGAATTCATTTTAACCAAACCTCCATAGGAAGGTAATAACAACGTAGTTTTTGCATTCTGCGTGTTTGTGCACGCCATAGCCCTTTTCCTTCATTGTCAGTTGCCGGAAGCTTGCCTGCCCCAGTTCTGGAAACTAAATTTGAGGTTCAGGCATCTCAGTGAACAGCAGATTTCTCTTATATGTGTCAGATGCATTTGCTTCTCCTAGCTGTAGGCTAAAGCCCATTCCATCTGTGGCAGCGATGGCACCACAATAAATCTGTCATGCAGCCCTCTTCATTGCTTTGCTCCTAGTGTTAAACAGCAATGAACATAAAGAAGAAAACTGTAGTTCATTTGGTCTGGAAAACCCAGCCTTCTTTTCCATACTTCTGTGTTTGGTGATGGAATGCATGCTTCCACTAAAACTTGGGGATGTTCTTTACTTTTCAAATGGTTTGGGGACTGAAGATTAATGTCCCTATTAGTTTATAATGATGCACTAATGGGCATTTTAATCTTCTTGGCTGTTCTCCAGGGATTGTTTTTGTGTCTGTGTGTTTGTGTGTTTTATTTTACAGGCTGATGTAATCTCTAAACTCAACATGACAGACAGGTAAATCTTTCGCTTTGTTAACAGCCATGGGACTCTTTTCAGCCTGGGGAGAACTTTCTCCACATTGATTCCTGGGTGTGGTACCTCTGTTCTGTCTCTCTTTTTATTTTGCTAATGATTTCTGCTGTAGAATCTATTCTGAATTAATTTGTGTCTGTGAAATGAATCAAAATTATATTAAGGAATTTCAAAGCTCTCCAGTCAAAACATTACTGGCTGAAAGGATTGATTTAATTTAAACTTTGGAGGAAATAACTGTGGTCCATTATCTGACAGCCCCTTCCCCAACACGTACACATGCTCCCCCACGTCTTGGTATCCTGCTTCTTGTCATATAGCTCCAGTAAGTGTCATATCTCCAGAGAGGCCTTTCCTGGTCCCTCAGTCTAAGTGGCACCGCCACCCCTGCAGGGCACTCTTTCTCTCGGCACCCTGATGTCCTGTGCAACCCTTGCTGTTTTCCACATTGGTCTTCATCTCTGGATGTTGCTCTGTCCAGTGCCATGGTCAGATGCTGTCCCTGAGCCACATGGCCCTCGAGTGAGTTTTGGCTCGGCCACTTCCTAGCTGTCCAACCTTGGACAAGTCACTTAAGCTCTTCGCCCCTCGATTTCCTGTGTAACTGGGACAATAGTGCCCTCTCAGACGGTCGCGATGTGGGTTGTTGTGTTAGTCTGTGTCCTGTACTGAGGACAGCTCCTGGGGCGTGGTAAGTGCCATGTAAATGCTGCGGGATTATTAGCCTTAGTGCCTGAAACATATATTAGGCAGTTAATAATCTGACCTTTGTGGGTGCTATAGGCAAGAGCCGCTGGCCTGGCCCCCAAAGTGCACTGGAGTCACTGCCAGCCTTTGGTAGTTAGATGTGGTCAATGTGAGTGGGGCGGGGGTCCATTGCAGGTGGTGGCACGAGGCAGAGCAGAAGTCTGGTGCAGGAGCTCATGCGCCTTTGCGGGGAGACCCCCAAGCCATCACAATTCCAGCCACTCTGACCAAGCAAGCCAGGAAGTCTGTAACATATTTAAGTCAAAATCTTCCAGCACTGGTCAAAATAAAGCCTCTGGACTTAAGGGGTGAGAGCTCCTTTTAGAGTAGGCCTGTCACTGCCCCGCCCGCCACACAGCTGGGGAAGAGGGAGAAAAACCCCATCTCCCTTCTCTCCCTCAGCTGCCATGTGTGCTTTTATGTCAAACACAGCCTTTGACGTTGGTGTTTTAGTAGGGGGGCCCAGAGATAATCATCACAGAACTTCCCCCCCCTTTTTCTTTTTGTAACAGCTTTGCATTTGGCTCCCTCATTTCTGCCGTTGATCCGGTGGCTACTATTGCCATTTTTAATGCCCTTCATGTGGACCCTGTGCTCAACATGCTGGTTTTTGGAGAGAGTATTCTCAACGACGCAGTCTCCATTGTCCTGACCAAGTAAGTGTGTTTTCCTCAAGTGACAGAACTGAGGTCCTTGTGACAAAGGGACCGATGTGTCCAGGCAGTTGCATGTGAAGCGGCTGGTCCTGTGAGTCTTGCCTGGTTCTCTGCCATCTGTCCTGACAATTCTCGATGTGCTCAGGAGTACTGTCAGGGTTCAGGGTGACAAGGAGAGGAGAATCTGCCTTTCATGACTTACTTTTTAGCTGTGGTTTTGGGCTCAGCTTCTCATCAGCAACACCGGGGGTGCTTATTAAAGTGACACTAATAGGTGCCCGTCTTGGGATACTGTTGCATGTAAGTAACTTCAGAAGCTGCAAATCTTTCCCAGTTCCACTGGTTTCACTGTCCTTGTTGACAGGATCTCAGAGATTAAAGATGAATCATATATTGTCAATATGTCAGTGGGAAAAGGAAGTAAGTTTAAGAGAATAGAAATGCATTGATGGGATGCACAGCTGTTTCCTTGAGTTGTGGGGTTCATTAGCAGGCATGAGCTGGAAACCCAAACAATTTTGCTAAAACACAGAAAAGGCACTCACAGAGAGATTGGAGGAAAGAGCCCTGGACATTGCTCCAGAGATGAGCTGAGAGAATTGTAGGGCTGAGCCGTGTGAGGATGCAGTTTCCATTATGTGAACTCTGTCTTGTTTTGTTTGTTATGGATTCTTTGTCAAGCATAACAACTCTTTGGTGGTTAGCATTTTCCTAAAGCTTTAGTATAGCCTCTAACATTCAGAATTCTTATATTGAAATACAACAATGTTGTATAGTGTGAAAAACCCAAGTTTGGGAGCCAGGCTGAATTCGGTGCAAGTTCATGTGATATGACTCATTGCTGTGTGACCTTTACCTCAGTGCCTTTACCTCTCTGAACTGCAAGTTTCTAAAGAATAAAGTGAGGACGTTAGTGACTCAGTTTAGGATTGGATTTGAGGGTTAAATATTTAAATATGACACTCTGTGAAAAACATCTGACCTCACTTAATGTGAGTTCCCTTCCTATTCACTCTGGTCCCCAGTTCCTGATTCACTGTGTGCCCTGTTTTTGTCCTTTTACAGGAAGAACTGGTTGCTTAATGTCAAGGAGTACTCAGCAGACCTTAAACAAAATTTAAAATTTTCTGTATTCTAAAAGTAATATATATTCTTCTATAAAATTTAGAAAACATGTAAACAAAAAATAAATTAAAATTACATGTATTGTTACTACCCAGAGATAATTACAGATGTCAGTTTGATAGATGTCTACAGTATTTTATTTGAGGACTTCTGTTCCATAGACTCTTGTAACTTTTCCATTGAACAGAGTTGGTAAGTCATTTTCTATAGCATCATTTTACTGGTTACAGATTATTCCTGCCTATGGATTCAATGTGATCTGTTTAGCTAAATCTCCATTATGGGCTTTTTCATGGCAAAAATTCCTACAGCTTTATTAGTAAATTATATATCATGATATTAGAACTTTTTTTTAAGATTTATTTATTTATTTATACAAGCACTGGGTACAGTCAGAAGCATGGGAGGGTGAGAGAATTCACCAGAACCAGAGCGGGGAACAGAACAGGCAGACTGACGAAATACACTGCTGAGGGGAGCAGCGGGCAGCAGGCAGCAGGAGAGGTCTGTGCGCCATGTGGGACCCTCACCCGGCGGCCGGGGATCCAACCAGCGCTGCAGAGACTGCGGGCAGCTTCGCAGCCCAGTGCTCAACCGCTGTGCCACCAGGGGAGGCCCCATGATATTAGAACTTAAAAAAAAAATCTTACTTAAAATCTTCTCTGAAAGCTTCTTAATGTTCTGGTTTTCACTTTTATCTTACGTCCTGGCTGCCCATATTGAACATTTGTGAAAGAATCTTGCCCAAATTGGAAGTGACATCATGGGTTATTTTTATACATTAGGAGCTAAACGTGACTACTTTGTCTTTGTTTTTTTTTCCTTTCTAATGTCAGAAATAGGACTTTTTCTGAGCTTTTCCAGGTCTCTTTGTCATAAAAAAAGCCAAAGATTAGGAGATATAATCTTTTTTAAATGAGAAATGATGGAGCCAGTATAAGTAGCCCAAGATTCTTCCTTGGAAAAGTACTTTTGAAGGCCAAATAACCTGTGACATCTCCAGAAAATGGGTCTCTGGACCAGGTGCATGTAGTTTCCAAAAGCACCCCCCACCCCGCCCCCACCTTCCCCGGTCCTGGTACACAGGCTGGGGTAGTAAGATTCCCACCTCTCTGACTTCCAAACATGCAAAAGCTGGTCATCTACTGGCAGCATTTGGTGAGGGCCCTCTGTGCCAGACTCTGCCTGGAGACCAATTGAATTCAACAAACTTGGGCCAAAATGCAAGAAAGATGCTTCTAGAAAAGCAAACACAGTGCCTTGGGTACTAGGGGGAAATAGCCACCGTGCAGATTTCCCAGACGGTTGTCCTGTGAGCTGATCAGCATTTTCAGATAGAAGAGAGAGAAGGGGGCCTGGTAACCTTGCCTTCTTCTGCAGTACAGAGGGGCCTGTGGTCAGCTTTCCTTAGTTGTAAGGCAGAGTCTCATCTTGTTTCTAAGGAGTGTTCTTTGTAGATGATGGTTTTCAAAGTGATCTGACACATTTATCTTTGCAGCTAAATATGTGAATGAATTACCCCCTTTTAATGTTTTTACTTTCTTAAGTGCCAGAAAGCTAAGTATCTTCTGTTTTTTTATTAACTTTAATTAAATTATTTTTAGCATTGATTTGTTACTATGACAATTTATTCTTAAAATAATTGCTGTGGCGGAAACCTTTTGTTCCCTCCAGTTATAGCTTATGCTCATGAAATGGATCCTGGAGCCGCATTGTCTTTATTCTTTAAGATGTAAAAAACGTGACCTAGAAAAATAAAATGTAGAAAATTACCAGGCCAGAAAGAGTTCAGATTCTATTTTCTTTTATCTTCAGCTCAGAATTCATTGGCCTCTGCTGTTCACCTTGGTGCGACCTCTCCCCCCACCCCTGCCCCCCTCCCACCTTTGGGCCTCAGCCTCCTCTGCATGGAAAGGAAGCAGTGATGCCAGCCTGAGTGCAGGGATGGTAGAGGCATGGGGGGAGGTGGACATCTGGCAAGTGTCCAGATCCAAGGTGACCTTAGCCTTCAAAAGCACTTTCCCAGTAAGAGCCTTTGCTGGCGCCTAGCGTCCCTGAAGGTGGGATGTGACTCTAATCTGCTGAGAGAGAGAGGGCATGGAAGATCATGCATTCAGTTGAGTTTGGAAAATTCTTGTGTAAAAACAGTTAGATTAACTTTTGGCAAGACTTCTCAGAACCTTTATTTTATCACACTGTGCTATGACTCCATGAAAGACAGAGACACCCTTTTATCAGAGATTATCCTACTAAAAAATCACACCAGGTCACGAAAGGCCAATGACGCTCACTCTTACTGCTGACCAGTCTTTGTATCATTTACTGATTCTGCAGAATCCATTGGGTGTCTTTTGTGTGCCAGCTCTGCCCTTGGCCTTGGACATGTGGCAGTGGACAAGGGAGAAAAGGCTTGGTCCTCCTGGAGCGGTTCATTAGTTTTCACGCACTGTGGAGAAGTCAGGCAACAGGAGAGCCTGTCATTGAGCTGACGGGGTCAGGGTGGGGGTTCCAGAGGTAGCGACATGGACCCTGGGTTCTCAGGGACAAACCAGGCAGCTAGCTAGGGTCTGGGAAGATGAGCTACAAGGAGGTGTCCGTAACAGTGGGGCCCCACCCTGAATGAGGGAGCGAGATATGGTGTGGAGGGGAGCCAGGTCCTGCTTTGAAGCCTGGGCTTCTTCCTAAACTGCAGCAGGGAGCTGTTGATGGGTTTTTAACCTGATCAAATGTATCTTAAAGGGGTCATTCAAAGCACAGAGTGGAGGATGGGTTGGTCAGTAGGAAGACAAGGATGCTGAGAAAGGGGGGAGCAGAGCATTAGCCCTGCCATGAGGGGAGGGTGGGGGAGGGGGAGGAACAGACATGGATGGATTTGAGAGATAGTCTGAAGGTAGCATCAGCAGGAGGAGGATATTTAGCGAGAGTAACTGCATGTTAATGGCACAATGACTTTCCCTTTGGGGATAAAACCAACAATTAAATTTAATGCCTCCTGATGTTTTACTTTGCCCTGTTACTATGAAAGGAAAGTTCTTTAATTCTTCCTCTGTGATGCCTTAAATCCACCCTCCCATTTGGTACCCGATAGCACTTCTTTAGGGGGCCTCATTCTAATCTGACTTCATGCCATGACCTCAATTTCCTATTTTATCACAGGACCATACCCCTTCCCAACACACACTTCCCATAGCTCCCCAGGGCCTCCAGGGTGCAGCCCCAACTCCTTAGCATGGTTCATCACAAGTCTCCCACAGATCCCACTGCCACCTGATGCTCTCTGCCTGATCTCTTGCCACTGTCCTCCCCACCCGCATCTCAGGCCCCCCCCCACACCTGTTCTGTATTTTATCCATGCTCACCTGTGTATGTGAATGCCTCCAGAATGTGCTGCATGTTCTTGGGCTCCCTGCCTCTGTGCATGCTGTTCCCTCGGGGAAGATGCATTCCCTCTTTTCATCACTTGATTGACACTTTAGCCTAAATCTAAACCCAGCCCATATGTCACCCAGAACCTTCCTTGACCCACACCATTCCGAGTTAGCTGCCAGCCCTGTGCTCCTACTGGTCTCCACCCTGACCCCTGATGGTAGTTAGTTCCCAACTTGGTTTTCTCCCTTGTTAGACTGTGGGAGCTCCTCGCAGGCAGGGACTCTACTCTCATATCTAACCCCCCAAAAGCTAACACAGTGCCTGGAACAAAGTAAGTAAACAAGCAGATGTTATCCCTAACCAACTAAATGATGGAATGAATGAATGAAAGAATAAGCAAATAATAATTTTCAAGTTCTAAGTTAATTTTGAATAACTGTCTATAACATTTTAACTTCTTTCTGTTTTGTTTTGTTTTTTCTTATTTCCTAGCACAGCTGAAGGTTTAACAAGAAAAAATATGTCAGATGTCAGTGGGTGGCAAACATTTTTACAAGCCCTTGGCTACTTCCTCAAAATGTTCTTTGGCTCAGCGGCGCTCGGCACCCTCACCGGCTTAATCTCTGCATTAATATCCTTTTAATATGATGAACACACATGGCTGAGAAGCTGATTCTTAATTACATTCCATCTTTAGCCATTTTCTCTTCTTCTTTAAGGGGGCCAATTTTCATCTGTGGCTTGTTTGAAGAAGGGATTTTCATGTTTAATTTTGGTTTGAGCAACACTTTAAACTCAAAGATACTTTTTATTTAGCATATAAAATTTAAGATGTCATTTTTCAAAGCCCAAAAAGCTTGAGTGCTGCTGGAAATCAGATCCGTTTGCGGTGGGGGCTCCTCAGTTCTCAGACTCTAACTACAGTCAGATGATTTTCATTTTCATGCTGCTTCATTTTTCACACTCAGGAAATTGAGATTTAATTTCCATTGAAAATGTCAGGATGAGAAAATCTTTACCCCACTGAAAGTGTTCATCTGGGAGGCCTGGAAAAGAGACTTTCAAGGCGAGTGCCATCTAAGCTCTTGGTACTGATTTTGTTGCCTGACAGCCCATAAGATTTTCCAGTCAGAGAAGGAAGGTGGCCTGTTGATGAGCCAGTGACACATTTATTGCTGTAGGAGAGTCTTCATGACTAACAGAGGAACAGACACTGTTTCTACGCCAGCCTCAGACTGCATTGTACAGAGATGGCCACCGGCCCCCCTCCACACGGTTTGCTTCACAGATGGCCGGAAAAGCCTCTTTGCCTACGAGAGGCATGTCTGTCTGCCATCCTGTTGAATTTTCCTTCAGCTCCTTTGTCCAGAAGTCTAAAGGCTCACTTGAGTTGGCTGACAGCTTCTCATGTTGTACCAATAAACAGAAAGGAGTCGACTTTCTTCCAATTCAGCATTTTCCTCCATATTTCTATTTTTAGTAAAAAAGAGGAGCAGCATTGGGACGTAGCTGAGTAGACAGGTGTACACTTAGGCATGTGAACCGTGTTTGAACATGCAGAAGGCTCTCGTCACAGGAATGTGAGTTTAGAAATTTCCAGGACAGGAAGAAAGGTCCTTACGTGGAAACCCCATTAGTGATCTCACCCCACGTCTTCGGAAGAGGTAAAAGATTGGTCGGGCCCAGCTCTGCCCCTGCAGCCCCTGCGTGTCCCCAGCCCAGCAAGTCAGCGTGTTAAAGTGAACTGAGGCGGGCTGATTCTCGTTCCTCCCCTCCCACTCGTGTCGGGAATTTATGTTTTAAGCTTAATACTTTGTCAGGTTCCCTTGTTCATAACAACAGTCTCCCAACCAAGAAAAATTTCCTAAATTCTGATAAATGTTCAGTTGTTCCCTGGGATGCCCCAGAATCTCTGTGCTGGGAGGCCGCAGGCTTGTGACTTCTCCAAGCTGCCCGTCCACTGTCTTGGGGTTCTTTTGCCTTGACAATTGTCTTCTACGTGCTAAAGCATATTGACCTAAGGAAAACACCTTCCTTGGAGTTTGGCATGATGATCATTTTCGCTTATCTTCCCTATGGGCTCGCGGAAGGAATCTCCCTCTCAGGTGAGTGTCAGAGCACACGGAGATGTGAGGGCACGGGCCCAGTCCCAAAAGTAAGTTATGACTCAAGAGCTTAGGCAGTAAAGGGGACTCCCTTGTGCCCCAGGATACACCTGGGGGTAGACCTGCTTGGATCCAGGAGCTCAGTGTGATTTCCTCTTTACCAACCACCCTGCAGCAGAGATCAAAACACCACATCCATGCTGCCTCTCTCCAGAACAAGGCCTCTGAAGGACCTTCACTCAAAGGTCGGGGCCAAGGGCACTCAATCCCTGAGCCCTAGCGCCCATTCATCTGCATTCTGTCACCATAGTTTTGCCTTTTCCAGACTGTCATAAAAAAGAAATCATGTAATATGTAGTCCTCTCTCTGAGTTATAGTGTTCTTGAGAGACATGTTTTTGCACATAGTCTGTATTTTAGCTGTTGATCATTTGAAGAACATTTTGAGGTTTTCCAGATTTTAGCTACAAATATTTGTGCAAATCTTTTGGTTTATCTTGGATAAAATACCTAGGAGTGTGATTGCTGAGTCAAATGGTTAATATATATTTTACTTTATTAGAAACCACCAAGTGACTTCAAAGTCTCTAGACTTCCTTCCCAACAACTCCCTTCAACTTTTACTTTCAATTTTAAAAGTTCAGTCTTGCTGATAGCTGTGTGGCAATTTGATTTTGATGTGCCTTGATGTGGTTTTCTTGGAGCTTGTTGAGCTCCTTGGGTCATTTATTTAATGTGAGATTATAGCTTTTTGTTGAATTTGGTCAATTTGTACCCATCGCTTTAAGCAGTTTTTCTGTTTTCCCTCTCCTTTCAGAATAACATGTCATCACCTCACAATACACTTTGCCTTAATTTTAAGACATTTTTCTCTGTGCTTATTTTGACTACCTTCTGTTGCTGTGTCTTCAAGTTCACTAATATTTTCTTTGGCCCTGCTCAGTCCTGCTACTCTCAGCAAGTGCATTTTTCATTTCAGATATTGTGTTAGTCATCTACACAAGTTCCCTTTGGGTCATTTTTATATCTTCCATTTTCTCTCTTCATGTTGTCTCCACATTCCTAATCATATTTCCAATAGCTGTTTAAATGCCCTTATTTGCTAATTCCATCATCTCTGTCAATTCTAGGTCTGTTTATAAGTCATCTTTGCCTGCACTTTGTCTGTTAATTTACAATGGAATGCCAGTCATTGTGAACTTTTTTGTGTTGTTCAAACTAGATTTTATGGTATTCCTTCATAGAATTCTGGGCTTTTTCTGCCATGTATCTAATTTGCTTCAAATTTGTTTAATTCTTTTGAGGTTTACTTTTTTTTTAAGATTTTTTTAAATTTATGCATACAAGAGCTGGGGTGTAGGCCAGATGCGCAAGGGGTGAGAGGATTCATCAGAGACAGAGTGGGGAGCAGAACAGGCAGATCTGCCAAAATACACTGCTAAGGGGAGCAGTGGGCAAGTCAGGAGATATCTGCTGCGCCATGTGGGTCACCTCCCTGGCCAGGAATTGGGAATCAAACTCACGCTCCCAATAGCTTGATAGTACTGAGACTTAACCCCTTGCACCACCAGGGAGGCCCCTGAGGTTTACTTTTAAACGTTGTGCAAAGGGCAAGTCCAAAGTAGCCCAGGAAACCAAGGCAGTGGCCTCTGAGAACTCTGCCTCGTGGCTATCATGTATTATAAGGTCAGTCCACTCGGGCTGGTGAGAACATAAACTGTTCCCAGTCCTGTATCTGCTTTGGGCATTGTTCTACCTGTTCCCTTTTAGTGGTTCTCTCCCCAGCCCATTGGGCTGTCACCTGACCTGTGTACCAGATCAGTATCAAAGGTTCAAGAGGCCCCTTCTGCCACTCTCTGTAGCTCTCCTGTGCCACGCCGCCTCGCTGGTATTCCAACTGCTTTGGCCTCCTCCCCCAACTTGCTGATCTCCTTGACACTGGGACTGCAAGGTTCAGTTTGGGTTTTGCTTCCCTAAGCCTCAGTCTGGAAACTCCATCTAGGCAGTGCACTGGGCGGGGGCTGGTGGGAGGAACGGCCACCCTGTTTGTTTCCCTTCGGTCAGAAATCACAGCCCTCCCCCTTCTATCAGGCTTTCTAGTTATTTATGACTGGACAGCAGTTTGCGTAGCACTTATGTCTTTATGGGCAAAGTGGAAGTCCCGGTGGTTTTTAATGACTCTGTTGAATGGAATTCTCCTTCCCACAAGCGCTATCTGGAGCAGCACAGGGTTCCCTGGAGCGTATCTTGCCAAGGAGGAAGCACAGAGGCTTCTGGCCATTTTCATGAGAGAACCCTTTGTAAACCTCAGGGTTACTTTTTTTTTCATCCCAAGCCAGTTCTCTTGGATAATCTCATCCCTGTATCTGCCATCAAGTCCCCTCTCTTATCATGCATGAATTTTGGCACGGACATGAACATTACCTGTGAGTCACTTGGCTCCATTTACCTGTTTTTCTAAATTGTTCCCTACTCCTTTGAAAGGAACAAATAGTGCCTGGTGGCAGAGAGATATTTCATGTATCCTTTTGGAATTTGTGACTAAAACAAGCAATTGTTCTTCTCATTTTTCTTTCAGAGAGGCCATGTTTGGGGCTGTAGGGGTTTCATTTCTGGAGGGGGTCCGGCTACCCATGCTAACGGGGTGAAAAGAGCAAGAGCTGGTGGGGAGGGGAGGTAGGGCAATGCACATGGCCTCTGGGTGATGGGTGCAGCTGGGCCACACTTTGCTGCTGGGATTTTTGTCATGCGTGTGTCCAGAGCAGCATGTACAGGCCTGGTGAGGCCCTCCAGCCCCAGTAGGAATGTGGACAGGAGCACTGCTGCCTCACCACCTCCTCTTTTCATTCCCACCAAGGACAGAGTGAGTGGTTATAAATGCCAGTGAGCTGGACATGCACCCCACAAATCATTTACTGCGCCCCCTTCTTCTGAACATTGCGGTTAGACACCAGACAGACCTGGTGTGAGCCCTCAGCCCCCTTCTCATTCGTGTATGACTTCAGGCAGCACTCAGCAGCTCTGAGCCTCTACTTCCTTTATGAAACAGACCTAAGAGCCACTCTGAGCTGTGGTAAGGAGGAAAGGTTGTGTCAGTGTGTCGCTAGGGGTGACCATACATCCTGCTTTGTCCTGTTTTCCCCTTTTGTCCCGTTAAGAAAGTTGGAAAGCCATTCATTCATTCATTCAATAAATACATGTTTTCCCTGTATGGGGGTTTGGGAATGCTCAGAAAATTCTATATAAATTAATGGTAATAGCTTTCCCAGACCCAAAAGTAACCTACCAAGTAATACCAAATAGCATTCTACTTTCAGATAGTGGGGGAAAGCTGTAAATATTTTATCAATTGCCTACCCCGTGCTGAGAACTATCCCTGCGATCAGGGTCAGGTAGCAAACAAGAGAAGTCAGGTTTGCGCCTGCAGAGGGGAGACAGTAAGCAGGTGAAGAAACCCTTAGGATCATTTCAGGGCGGGAAAAATGATGTGAAGAAAGTAACTCCGGAGCAGCACGAGATAAGGGTCAGAAAGATGTCCTCTGAGACCTGTGTGGCATGCAGGCCCGGCCATGGAGAGGCTGGGGGAGGGGTGCCTGGTAGGGGAAACTGCAGATGCGGATGCACAGGGGCCCAGGCCTCATAGGCCTAGGTGAGATGGGTTCAGGTAAGTGCACAGGGAAGTGTTGGAAGCCTTTCAAAAACCATACTGCTGCTAATCCAGAGCAAGGATGCAACAGATCCTGTTTATTAACTTTTTAAACATAGACTTCATAACAGCGTGGTGAAAGAATTAGTATCTGCATATCAAAGTGTTAATAATAGTTAACGTCTGGGCACCTGGTATCAAAGGAGATTCCTTGTTTTACTCTAAACCTCTGAGTCTGGGTGATTTATAACAAAATATGTTTGTAATTGAGTAATTTACAAGAAAACTCACTAAGAGTTGACTCAGCCTTTGCCCACAGCCTGGTACAGCGTAGCGGAAACCATCCTGTGGGCCCCTTTATTACATTTTAACACAATGGCTTTAACAGCAACTACAATAGGAATAGATTTCCTTCCCCCTCCCTCCCTCGCTGCTTTTCTTCCTTCCTTCCCAACGGCTGACCAAACGTTTTGCTGGACTGCAATCTGCTTCCTTACATGATGTTGCCTTCTAAAAGCAGTAAATGTCTCAGGCATTCTTCCTCACGGGCCCTTTCAAAAATACCCATGCCTTTTATCTCCGGCAGGAGGCCTGATGGCGCCACTTACGGGTGGTGTTTTTACAGCCAGTGCCGGTGGCAGCTGCAGCGGAGGAGGGTTCTCTGGGTGGCAGAGAAGTCACCTTTGCTTCGGGAGGTGCTAAGGCTTTTGCCCCCACTCCTCGCCCTCTTTCCCTCGGCCCCCAAAACTCTGGGATGCCCACCCAGACCAGCCCTGGGAGGTGGTAGGTAGTGGCTGGCAGTGCACCTGCGTTAGGCAGACCGTCATCTTCATGCTGCCGAACTCAGCCCCCAGCAGGGGTTTGTTTATCCATACAGGAAATTTTCCAGCATTTGAATTTGTTGCCATCATTACAAATTGGGTGATTTCCCATAAAAAACAGATTTTTGGCATCTCTCAAACGATCAGAAGGAAGACTTTTCAGCACCTGGTCCCATCTCACGGGGCTGCTGCCAGCACTTTGGTGGGGGCGAGGTGGGGGAAGCTTGTGCCTTTTCCACCATGTGCTGCTCACCCACTTATTACTTTGATATTTACTGTCTGGCCCCTAAGGAGTCTGAGATTCGCACCCCTGTTCTAGTGAAACCGGCCAGCCAAACCTCTTCCGCACTCCACCTGCCTCCTGCAGAATGCTGAGGAGGACAGGCCTGGGCGCCGGCAGGCAGCTCCCTGGGGCTCTAGCAGGGGCTCTCAGGACGTTCGGTCCCAAGGGAATGTCCACTTTCCACTGTCAGACACGACTGCCTGCGTCTTTGGCTCTCTGGAGTGGTTGCCTCATGCCGGGACACCCGTGGGCTGTGGAACGACCTCTCTGTGGCAGAACAGCCACATGGATGGGAGGCCGCTCACATCACAACTTAAATGTGGCCCCAGCTACTCCGGGGTTGACTTTTACTTCAAAGGAAGAACTACAAAGTCTCAGCTTGGCCAGCAAATCAATAACCCCTCTCAAAGCAGCCCGGTGAAACTAAGCCCTTGGAAGCTCAGGAGCCAGAAACTTCCAGCATTGAAGTGCAAGTAAGGAAGGGAGCACCTTAAAATCAGTGCCATCCCAGCCTTCCTGCGGTTTGGACCCCGAGATGAGCTCCAGGCCCAGGTCCTGGTCTCTCCCCTTTTGTCGCAGGGCCATCACCACACAGCTTCCCAGAGGGGCATCCACAGTCCTCCGGGTGGCAGTGACAACACAGACTGTGGTCAGGAGCCCTCCACAATGCCAGTCATCGTGGGTTAGTAACCTCAGAGAGGGGCCAAGTGGTTGGTGGTGCAGGTGTTGCTAACAATCTTGAGGGAGTTGTTTATGCCCATCACAAACGTGGGGGCATCAGCAGAAGGGGCAGAGATGGCCCTTGTGGTCCCACCCTTCAAGTGAGCCCCAGCCTTCTCCAAGGTAGTGAAGAACCCAGAAACCACATCACCCTGTTTGATGTCAGTGGGCTCTCACTCTTGGAAGGTGGAGGTGGGCATTCCCTTGGTGACAAGCTTCCTCTGCTCAATGAACTTGCCATGGGTGGAGTCATATGAAATGTGCACACTGGGTAGCAGAGGTCCTCGAAGGGGTCACCAATGCAACAATATCCACTTTGCCAGCGTCAAAAGCAGCCCTGGTGACCAGGTGCCCAGCCTGGCCAAATCCGTGCCCACCCACCTCCACCATGGTGTCTGAGGGCAGCTGTCATCAGACTGGGAGAGCAGAGTGCCTCCTCCTTGTCCTCAGAATGCCAGCACTGTGGGCTCCAGGGCCTGTGGCGAGAGGTTCTTGGGCACCACACGGCAGTGTTCCTCAGCCCCGTTCATGCCCATGTGCTTTGCGCCCCCTCTAGGTATCATGGCCATCCTGTTCTCGGGCATCGTGATGTCTCACTACACTCACCATAACCTGTCCCCGGTCACCCAGATCCTCATGCAGCAGACCCTGCGGACCGTGGCCTTCTTGTGCGGTGAGTTCTGCCTCTGTGTGGCTCCCCCACCCCGACCTCCCCAGCATGAATCGCTGTTTCTTGCCCTGTTTAAGGAGTCAGTTGGGATTCTCCCCGGCAGACAGGAAGCCGAATTCCTCAGAGCCAGATACTGCACTCATTTCTCTTGCATTTATCACTCTGGTGTTCTGATTCCATGGAGGAAACGGAATACCTAATAAATAGGACTTTTGACACCTACAGTTTTAAGACCGAAGACAGTGAGAACTAATTATGAACATCTGAGATGTATGCATTTTCAATGTATTAACTGAATCTTTCCAAAAAGATATTCTCTGGAAGACATATTGATGGTTAGGTGAAAGTAGACTCCGTAATCAAAGTAGGTGGTGAATACTGGGGGTAATAATATTTAACAAGTTCTTGTCAGCTAACATGCATTGTAAGTTTCTGAGAGAAGGATGTAGTGGCAGCGTTTCCCAAACTGGTCCACAGGACCTTTCACAATCGCACCTTTGAAGGGCAGCACTTGCGGAGATTTTTTATGAGGCTGGTTGGTGGGCCATGGTCTGCCATGACAACCATTTCCTGTAAGCAGTTTCAGGGTGCGGTCCTGCTCCCCCCACTCCAGTGACCCTGCATACTTCTCCCTCATTTATACCCAGGAGCGAAGGACCCACTCTCTCACTGGACCCCAAGTGCCTGTGCCCTCACTGTCGCCTGTTAGCCCTGGCATTTCTGTGGGGCTTATCTCATTTTAAAGCCCTAGTTACACACTGCCGTGCCCTAGCAAGTAGGGCAGGCTGTGCAGAGACTTCAAGAGGCAGGTGCCCACAGGCTCACAGCTACCAAGTGAGACTGTAGCCAGGGCTTGCCTCTTTCTGGGCCCATGTGTGTTTTTCCCACGGCACTGCTCTCAGAAAACTGTGGCTGAACACTCTCCCCCGACCCTCACAGTGGAAGGAATGTGACGCCAGACACCATCAAATTCTATGTGGTGCCCATAGACTGGCAGATTTTAGGTCTGGTAACCCCGCTCTGGCAAGGGCGTGTGCAAGGCAGACCCTGTGGACGGCGGGTACCAACGCCATCTTTTGGAGTCCTTGCAGAATCGCTCTGCATTTAACAGGCACAGGTTCTCCGACCCAGCAGTTCTACCACCAGGAACTTAGCCTGTGACCAGAGGTGGAACAGTCTAAATGTGCATCGACGGGACTCGTTAGTTAACCATGACATATCCATGGAATAGAATCGATGCTGGCCTGGGAAAGCGTAATGCAGATCTGAGTGTGCTCTCCATGAGCTGACTCAGATCACAGAAGTATTATTAGATAAGAAAAAGTTCAAGGGCAAGGAGGGTGAGTATACCGTGCAGACTGCAGCCTTGATCTGAAAGGACATGTTTGAAGCAAAAACATCGCCTCACCGATTCATGATCTTCGCCTATTTTAAAAGACAGTCTTTGTCTCCCTGGGTCTTGGGCTGTCCTGGGAGGACACCACAGGTTAAGCAGAGGCCCAGTGCTGGGAATGCAGAAGGTGCCTCTTCTTAGGCTGCACAAGCGACTGCTTGTCCAGTGAGAGTAAATGCCAGCCTGTTTGGACCGTGGCATGGAGCCAAGAGTGGGAACGTGTCTCTTCCTGCCAGTCCTGCTGGGAGTGAGCGTCTTCCGAACCTGGCAGTGGCATTTCGGCTTTGTCCACTCTGGCAGGACTCTTAACAAAGGCCCTTTCACACTAGCCATGAGGCGCCTGCAGTGATTTGCTCTGAATTTTTGCCACTTTGCCACAGTCGGGATCCTCGCTAATCACAGTGTTCAGCAAATGGACAGATTCATATATTTATCATCATCTCCAGATGGGAGAGTATTTATTTGCAAGAGTATTTGACAGTTGACTCATTAATTTAGGAGATTCTGCATAGCAAGCACATGTTGCTTGTATGATAAAAAAGAATGAGGGAATCCAAGTTTGAACAAGGTGTTGGCTGTAGAATCTTCCAGAAAATAAGCAACGTGCAGTATCGAATTCTGGCTTACTTCTGAATGTTTGCTTGCTAACAATTTAGAGCTTTATTGGAAAAAAATAGTTGGGGCTGAATAATCCATTCTTTGGTTTGTTTCAGAAACATGTGTCTTTGCATTTCTTGGCCTGTCCATTTTTAGTTTCCCTCACAAGTTTGAAATTTCCTTTGTCATCTGGTGCATAGTAAGTATTTTCCTTGATTTTTATTTACTTACTTATCTGTAGCTCAATAACCATGTGTTCTGGATCCATATATGTAACTGTTAACGATTCAATGTCAACAGCTACATAGACACTCTTCCGTTTTATAATTTCTTTTTAAAAAAATCACAAACATACAATAAAATGAAAAGGGATGGAATTAAGTGAATATCTCTGGAAAAGATATTCTTGGTTTTCTCATTATAAGTGACTTTAAATGTTATGATCATCTTTAAGAGTACAACTTGGTGTTTCTATGTTAGGTGATAAAAGCAGATTGCAGGATTACATATGTAATTGATCATAGCCATGTAAAAACATTACGCATAGAAAAAAGAAGTATGTAAAGAAAATACAGCCAAGTGTTCTCAGTGCTTGTAGAACTGAGGATGATTTCTTCTTTTTTTTCTGGATAATGCATAATGCATATGCTTCTTACTGTGGTTTCCTTCAAATGTTTCCATCTATAAACATGACCTTGAACACTTGTTTAAAGATTACCAGTCTCTTCCTCCCCTGGAGATTCATCCAGAGGAATCATCCCAGATGATTCTTCCCATAAAGAAGGTTTGGGAAACAGTGTTATATAAACTTGGGGGGTAGCAGTAGGAGACTAATTAAAAATAAACTTTAAAAAGGAAAAGGTAGCTTGATCATTTGCAGTAGAATCAAATCCTTTTTGGGAATGGCATGGAGGAAATTATTTAGCATCTAAAGGAAGGTCCAGCTCCCTCAGGCAGCTGATCAAAGTAACTCAAACACTTCAAGCACCCGGGCATTCAGCCTGGTGTCCCCAGCTCCCTTGTCTTCCTTGGGTCTCTGTCCCCACTGTGTGAGCTTATCCCCTTTTGGCTCTGTTGCTGATTCATACTCTGGTCCCTAACTTGACCTCTTTCTTGTCTTTTTAGATCCTCTTAATTTAAGGCACTTAAGAAGTGCATCTTGTTGAATCACCATAACCCATCTTCAGTTGGTAACTTTCACTGCCAACTGTAAAACCCAGCCATTGAGAGGCAAGCTTTTTTTTAGCACTGTCACCTATGATGTGTAAAGCAGCAAGGCCTACCTACCTCTTAGGTATATGGGGAAACTGAGACAGAGAAGATGCTTCTCCTTGTAATCTGAGCACTTCCACTTCTTAATCAGCAAGAGCACGTTGCTTTGTCACTGTTACTGTCCTCCAAGAGAGGACGAGAGAACAGCAGCAGAAGTCTTTTGTGGAAAATATACTAGTTTTTAGTGTGGCACCAGGTAAATGGGGCCACATTTGGTCAAACCTGAAACACAAGTGTAGGAATGGAAGATTCCATTTCAGTGGGTGGAGCAGTGACTGGCTCAGCTGTGGGTTGGGAGAATGTGTGTCTGTCCTAGGACGGTTACTCAGTTGCCCTGAGCACACGGTCGGGCGGGCTCTGCCCGCTCGAGGAGCTCTCAGGCAGATTATGCATCCCGCCCTTCAGACTTGGCCTGGTGGTCAAGGCCATGGGCTTGAGGGATTGAAGTGGGTTTGAGGCCTGGCTCCGCTGCTTCCTGCCTTGGTCAGCGTGGACCACTAAACCTTTCTCTGTCTCAGTTTCCTCGCCTCTGAAATGGAGACAGTGACACCTACTTCATAAGACCCTTGCAAGGACCAAAACCTGACAAGGCAGTGTGTACAGACCCTGAGCATGCCGCCCAGGACAGAACTGTTGCCTGAGTATGAGCAAGCATTGCAAGACTCCCAGGCTTGCGGTGCAAAGCGCACTCAGCTCAGTGTGCTTGTTCAAATAAGCCGAGAGCCTCACGTCCGTTCCTTTTCTCTACTTAGTTATGGTGAGAGCCAGCATGAAGAAAGTGAGAGTAAATTAATAAGTAGTTCTAAGAATCCACTTAGATAATAAAACTTCACGTGATGCTCCAGATCATGCCCTGGAGAGGGCTAGGCCGAAAGCCCTGCTCAGCAGCTGGCGTGAGTGTGGGCGGGGGCTCTTTAGAACCTGCCCAGCGTTCTTGCTCCAGGAGCAGCATTTATGTTCATGTTCATAGCAGGTAGGCCCCTCTCAGCCTCTCTCCTTCCCTGGGCAGTGCCCTCCCCCACCCCCAGAAGAGGCAGAACACCTGACTCTCCACCAGAGCAGGCCAGCCAGCTGGCGGACTGGTTAGCACAAGCCTGCCCCAGGCTGGCCACACCCCGGGAGGTGTGAGGTTACCCTTCCCAGAGGTCTGGGTAGTCCTGCCCCTCTGCTCTGGCTTCTGTGCACTGTCACCGCTTTGCTTGTCCTCCCTCTGACTACTGAGCCACAGAGCTCCATCCTTTCCCAGACACAGAAGTACCCCCAGCGGGCTCTGAAGCCTTGTGCCCAGGGGAGTGCTGCCCACGGGTGTTGCCTGAGCTTCCGCGGGCTTCCACACCAAGAGCCGGGTTTCCGTCTAAGACTTTGTTTGTTGCTTCTAACAGGTGCTTGTGCTGTTTGGCAGAGCGGTGAACATCTTCCCTCTCTCCTACCTCCTGAATTTCTTCCGCGATCATAAAATCACACCCAAGATGATGTTCATCATGTGGTTTAGCGGTAAGTCCCGTCGGAGGGGACCTTGAAGGGAAAGCACCCCCGCAAAGGCACCAGCGCCTGTGCGGAAGAGCGAGGCCCTTCGCTCAGCCTTTGAAAGCACGTGTTCCTCGTGACCCACGCACGCCACCAGCCCCACTTACCAGGCAAGGACGGTGACCAGGCCCAGCAGGCCCTTAACAATAGTAGCTCAGGCTCGCTCCCCACAGTGCTGCCACAAGGGGGTGGCATCTGCGCTGCAGGGGAGGAAGCTGAGGTTCCAGGGCAAAGGGCTTGCGTGTTGCAGAGCCAGGAATTGCCCTCCTTCCGTCCACCCTCCTTGACGACAGGGCAGCCTGGCCAAGCGCTCCCTCGCCTGCAAGCTTTCTAGGCTGCAGATAAAGGCTCAGCGTTTAAACTTCTCTGTCTCCAGGCCAGGCTGGATGTGTCTCCTCTAGGCTGCTTGAACATTTCAGTTCCTCTTCAATGTATTCCTCTACTTTTTTAAAGGCTGCCAGTGATTTCCTAAATCTTTGGCTCCAAACACATTAGATCCTTAGGCATCTTTATTTTTTTTTCCTTAGGCATCTTTAAATTTATTTTTGAGCAATACATACAGTTCTTTGTGCTTTCTTAAATAGTATAATTAAAATATTCCCATGTGGGTTGGGGTATAGCAATATGTTTTAGAAGCTATTTCCTACCTAACATCATATCTGTAAATCTCTCAGAATTCATTTTCAAAAATATCTGTTCAAAATACATACATATGTCAGTGGGGTACACGAGTGTGTGTTGTAAGGGAAACCTTTCGTTCTCAATCTTTTTTACCCATGAGAAAAACAACATTGCTAAAAAAAATTGTAAAGTGCTTAAGATCCAAGGTCTTGAAAATCTCAAAGTCCAGGACCCACATCAGGTGTGGGTAAGATTGCAGAAGCTCCTTGGCAGGGGGCATGACCCGAGCCCTCCATGGGGAAGGGGAGCATTTTACACAGTGAGGGCTCCTGGCCCGAGTATCCGCTCCCAGGCCCTCCTGAGCCTCCCTCCCCTGGTGTCCAGCTCTTTCCTGGATGCCCCACCCCTGCTGGCTCCTCCCATTATCATTTAAACAGGTGAAGATTCTCCTTCCAGCCAAAAAACAACCACCTCAACCAAATCCTGCCCCACAGCCCCTCCAGCCGCTCCCTCCCTCACAGTCTGACTTCTTTGGGCTGACCTCACCCACATTCTCCACTTCCTCGCTGCCTGGCTCCTGGGCAGGACTTGACCTGACCGAGGTCAGCAGCAGCCTCCTGCGGCCAGACCCGCCGGGCCCCTGGCAGCCCCGTCCCGCCCACCTCCTTGGCTTTGGGCTCCTTCCTCCCCTGCCCTTGTGCCTTCCAGCCGAGGCCCTCTTCCCCGTGTCCTTTGCCCCGGGCCTTTCCCCTGAGGGCTCCTGAGGCTCCCCCCAGCTTCTCCTCCTCTTCTCCTGACCCCTCAAACACTGGCTTCCTCAGGAGTCAGTCCCAGACCTGCCTCGGGTCTGGGGTTCTCACGGACCATCTGTCCCTCGGCCTCCACTCCCCTCTGGTCCCCACACTCCCGGCCGGGCCCTTCCTCAGAGCCACACTCCTGTTCCTGAATCCTCCTTGGATGCCGTGCAGACACTTTAATCTCATTGTCTTGACTGAACTTGGTACCCTCCTGCCACGAGGCTTCTTTGCCGGCACCCTTCTCCCACAGAACACAGCAGTGGGTGTTGTAACCGAGGGGCCGCCGACTCGCTCGGTGCTCGCCACGTGCGTGTGCTGCGCCACGCCGGTCATTCACCCGCAGGCCCCTGGGTCAGGCTGAGTTGAGTCACCCACCCCAGCCTGGGAGGTCCCAAAGAGAAGGTAGGGGCAAAGGTAATCCGGGCACCAGTCTTCATGCTCAGACCATTGCTCAGCAAAGCCTCCTGGGACGCCCTGCCCACCCCAGACCTCATCCCCGCTTCCCTCCCGCACGTGTCCTCAGCTCGGTCTGGACAACTGCGGCGTCCGGCCCCATCATGCTGTCAGGCTTCGGCGCCCATGTCTGGGGCAGGGCCTGTCACTGAGTGCTTGACCCACCTCCCTGCTGACACTCACCGTCTCACAAGGCCGTTTGGTATCTCCTTCGCCGCAGCTCCGGGAGCTCCCCAGGGGCAGGACCCCCATCTCCCTTCTAGTGGCAGCCGGCAAGCCAGGGAGTTTCCCAGCTCAGTTCAGGGCCCTGGGTTCAGCCTGGGAAGGGGACAAAAAGGGGAGTGAGCAAGAGGCTACGCTGTCCGCGGCCGCCTCCAGCCACCACCAGAGGTCAGTGCTGCGGGGCCTGTGCTGGGCAGCATCTTCAGGTAGGAGAGGGGCAGGGCCAGCCGCCTTCTGTACTTTGCTGGGGGGACACCCACTTGCAGTCTGGCTTCCTCACTTGGACATTGTAGGGGTGGGGGGCCTGTCTGTTCCCGCGAGCTTTCTGACACCTGAGCCTCTGGCCCAGTAAAGCCTCATGTGCGGCACCTGGAGCTTCGTGGCCTGGACAGGCTGCCTCACTGGCCGCTGCTGTGTGACAGGGGAATGGTGGGGGGCGCGACCACAGCCCCACTTCTCTCCAGCAGCTTCTCCCTCAGAGAATGAGTCCCAGCTATCCAGGGGGTTGGTGGGGGGCCTCTCCCCACCCTCCCCCCTCACTTCCTTCACTGCCCCCAGGCCTGCGGGGGGCCATCCCCTATGCCCTGAGCCTGCACCTGGACCTGGAGCCCATGGAGAAGCGACAGCTGGTCGGCACCACCACCATCATCATCGTCCTCTTCACCATCCTGCTGCTGGGTGGCAGCACCATGCCCCTCATCCGCCTCGTGGACATCGAGGACGCCAAGGCCCGCCGCCGGAACAAGAAAGACGTGAACCTCAGCAAGACGGAGAAGATGGTGAGTGGGGACCGGGGCAGCCACGGCGGCCAGGCGGGACGTGAGGCTGAGGCGCGCTGTGAGGATGCCCAGGTCACCCCACCTGAGGAAGTGGAGCCCAGGTTCAGAGCATGGCTCTTTTGGGGCGTGGTGTCTGGGTCATGGCCTGGGGAAGCAGTTCTCCTCCCCTGCCTCCCACACCGCCCCATCAGGACCAGGACTGGAAGGTTCCAAGATCACATCATTCTCCAACCTTTACTGAAAGCCCCTTGTTAGGGGCTGGGGATGGAGTTTGTAGTGGCTTTGAGGCCCACGAGAGAGGGGCCTCCACCCAGGACAGACAACAGCCCACTTGGGACTAGAGGCTCCTGGGCTAGGGCTGCAGGGAGGCTAAGACCCAGACCCCACCACCTCTGCCTGCAGCCGCCTCTCCCGGGCAAGCTGTGCGGCCACTTCCTTGCCTGGGCCACCCCAGGCATGGCTGAGCCAGGCTGTCTGACGGGAGCACAGGCCACGCTGGCCTGTCATCCCACCTTCGTGCCCCTCCTCCCATCCATATCCGGAGATACATTTTTTTTGTTCCCTTTTCATGTGGTCCCTCTCATCCCCGCTCCCTTTCCCTGGAGATTGCGCTCTCCCCGCTGTGTGGACACGACCTGCAGATGGGACTGGAGCTATTGCAGCCACAGGGAAAAAGCAACAAAAGGCGCCTCCCTGTTCAGCGCCCTGGTAATGTGAGCCGAGCGTGCCAGTTCCTGCTCCTGCCTACACACTAGAGTCACCTGCAGAGTTCGCAGTTCTGGCCCTGCCCAGACCTTCACCTTTCTTTACACTGGGTGGGGTCCGGGGTCTCCATTGTGTTTTCACTGACCGACCTCCTGTGGGCATTCAGGGGGCTGCTTGCTGACCACAGGCCCCTGCACTGATGGGAAAATACAGGTTGGGGGCCCTGGTGGTCCGGGGTGGAGGCCGTGCAGTGTGGGGGCTCCAAGAAGGCACCCCCTGATGGCCTCTGCTACCCCACAGGGCAACACCATCGAGTCGGAGCACCTGTCAGAGCTCACCGAGGAGGAGTACGAAGCACACTACATCAGGCGGCAGGACCTCAAAGGTTTTGTGTGGCTGGATGCCAAGTACCTGAACCCCTTCTTCACACGGCGGTTGACCCAAGAGGTGGGTCGGAGATCCTTTGCCTTCCCTGCTCAGATCCTGCAGAGGCCCCCAGTCGGTGGGCAGGGGGCTCACGGGGTGCCTTAGGCCAGGCCGCTGCCTCCTGCCGGACTCTTCTCCTCCTCAGACTCGTGTGCCGGCGGAACTCGGCGTCTGCCGTTCCTCCTGGGATGCCAGATCTAGTGCTGCTTTACTAATAGACTTGTTAGCATGGTTTGGTCTTCCTGCCTCGTAGACTCACAGGACAGGGATCAGCTCCCGAATCTGAGCTGAGGAACTTCAGACCCCCTAGGCCCTCAGGCCCTGGCCCGAGGCTGGGACACCCCTTCCTCCCTCCAGGCACAGTTGTCAAAGGGACAACTTGGGTGGACTTTGCTGAAGTCATGCTCATGCCCACCCAGGCCTTCAGGGTGCTGCCCCCTCTGTTTCCGAGTCCCTTTTCTCCCTCGGCCGTCACGACTGCCGTCAGCACCGCAGCTAAGAGCAGGCGCTGTGCCAGGCGCGTTTCATGATTACTTCCTTTCATTTTCCCACACCCCAGGGCAGGAGATGCAGCCGTTACTTCACGTGACAGCAGGGGAGACTGAGGCCCGGGGAAATGAGGTGCCCCCACCCTGGGTCACGCAGCCAACATGTGGCAAAACTATGAGCAGAACTTGAGTGTCTGATTCCAGAGGCCACATTTTTAATCACCCCATCCTGCCTCCTGCTCCTGTTTCCGAGTGACAGCCTGTCTCTGTACCCCCACAAAGCCCAGGGCTGGCTCAAGTTAGTCAGTTAACACTGAGGTTCCCAGTGGCCGGCCGGCCTGCCTGCTGTCCCCCCGCAAGGTACAGAACAGCTCTCTCCTTCCTCGCCCCGACCCTGTCCTGACAAGGCTCGCTTGTGTCTCCTGCCCAGGACCTCCACCACGGGCGCATCCAAATGAAAACCCTCACCAACAAGTGGTACGAGGAGGTGCGCCAGGGCCCCTCTGGCTCTGAGGACGACGAGCAGGAGCTGCTGTGACAGCACCGGGTGCCACAGCCTCCACGGCGCCCAGGATGGACAGCGAGGACGGACATCTGGCAGCCTCTGCAAGGGGGAGGAGGCGGAGTGAAGTAGAGGCTGAGAACTTTCACCCAGAACTTTCCAGGCCTTGGGAGCCAGCTGGCTTCTGAAACTTGTCATCTTCCCACTCCACCCTGAGCCAGTCCTCTGCTCTCCATGTGCTTCTCAGCCTTTAGATGGAGGCCACCTGTCCAGGTAAACGTTTCCTTCAGCTTCTGCCACCAGACTGAGCGGCCCTCCAGCCAAGATGCCTGAGAGGAGCAGCTCTGCGTGGAGCCGCCATGGCTGGGGTGCGCGAGGGAGCCCTGGCTTGCCATTCCCGCCATTCCCAGCCACTGCCTTCCCCACCTGCCCAGGAGCTGCTGGGGCTGCCCAAGTGGGTGCCTGTGCCAGAGCACCAGCTGCGGGTGCCCGTCCCGAGGGGCCTACCTCCAGGTGCCTCTAGCCACAGCGGCAACAATCCCAGCCTAAGTGGCAGGCCCAGAAATCTTGAAAACCTCACTCCCCTTTGTGATGGCGCCTGAACTCCCTCGGGAAAGAAAAATGGAGGCAGCTTTTTTGTGGTTACTCTCACAGGTACCTCGCTGGCTGTGGCCGCACTACAGTCCAGCCTCCCGGCAGGGCTATGAATGTTTACACGGGTGCCTGGCGGGCGGGCGCAGGCTGGCTCTAGAGCCCCTTGGAAGCTGCACCCCTAGGTTTCTTTAAGGTGGTTGAGCCCATTCTGTGGGGTCAGAGCGCCCTCTAGAGGGAAAAGCTAGAGGTACAGGGCTTTCCGGGGCCTGCAGTTCAAGCACTTTCACACTGGAGAGCCTGGCCTGGCCAGCCTCCTAGGCTCTGGTTTGTCTAGAGGCCCTTTTCCTGAGCCCCAAGGTGTCTGCCCTCCACTTACCTGCTGCCCCTTCACTGCTCATCAGCATTTCCTTTCCCTCTCCCAGTTCTTTACTGTCCCGAGTGCCATTTGTCCCCCATGCCAGGGTCCTGGCTGGGGCCAGAGCAACAGTGCCCGCTGCTCCTCCCTTCCCACTCTACTGGGGACTGCAGCGACCTGCACCTGGTGCATCAGGAACCTGCCTGCCTGCTTGCCCTGAGCAGACTGCCGGCTCACTGGCTCGTGCTCTTTCTCTCTCTCTCTCTCTCTCTCTCTCTTTCACACACACACACACACACACACAGAGTCTCTCTCTCTCTGTGTCTGTCTCTCTCCCTCCCTCCCCCCACTCCATCCTAAAATCCCCATCACGAGGCCATCGCAAGGTGAGGAGCTGCCAATCATGTCCAGATGAAATGGAATTACCGATTTTTGCTCCTTCCTGCCCCTTAACAAGCCTCCTACCTGCTTACCTTTGCTCACCTACAGCCGCTGGCAGTTCTCGTAACGCGGCTCAGGTCCCAGCGGGAGCCTTGGGGGTTCAGCAGCCTCCAGATGGTTTGATTCATCACGTGCATGTCCTTGGTTCTCCATGGGGACACAGTGGGCCCATGTGGGCAGCATGGCGCCCAGGCTGGTAGCAAGTAGGTTCCATCCTGTCTGCCTCAGGCAGTGTGGCTGTGGACCCTCCTGGACCATGTGCCAGCCCACGGGCCAGGCCCCTGCCCGCACACTTCCCCTTTGCCCGGGAGTGTCACCGTGAGGCCAGGCAGGCAGGAAGCATGCAGATTCCTTTTTATGCATGAAAAGTAAATTTGAAATTGGTACAGCTACAATATGACCATTGTTCTCTTTGTAAGCCCCCTCTTAACCCCATCATGGGAGCCAAACAGGGTCATTTTACTCCGCACGGAGGAGGAATGCAATGGGTGATTCTGGCCCCTGTCCTCTCCTTCCTTTTAGTGGAAAAGGGAGGCTTTGTCAACACCTGGGCGCGGGGGCGGGGTCTGAGGCCCCCTGCACGCTTGGCCGTGTCCCCAGCGGGCTGGCCAGAGCCAGGTTCCCACTCTGCTTCGGTGGGAAGCGGGAAGGGGGGTAGGGTGATGGGCAGCTTCTCCTCAGCCAAATCACGGCCATCAGAGATGCAGGCATGACTTGTCTTGTGAGAATCTTAAGTGCACAAAAGGAACAAGCCTCCCTGGTCCTTCTCCCATCCCTCCAGGATGCAGGAGAGACATGTTTCTCCTGCTGCCTGGTGGGTAGGAAATCAAACCCGAATGTTCCTGATACAACAGCCAGAAGCACAAGAAGTTGCTGCAGCAGGAACCCAGTCTCCGAAGCCCCAGGCAGTGTGTTTTAGTGAAAACACCACTGTCAGAGTCAAGGCTGAAAGAGAGTGAGTAGCCAGACTCCCTTCTGCCGTTTCTCACACAAATGGAGTTACAAGTCCAGGGAATTTCATCATCACTGGGCATGTGACAGAAGGAGGCAGGCTTTCTTGTTTCTGCTGGTGCACCCCACCCTTCCCCTTCCCCACCCCGCTGACAGAACCCAGAAGGGAAAAGGCCTTCCTTACCTGTGAGTTGGTCTCTGCTGCTCTGCACAGCTGCCCTGACCGCAGGGTGAGTGAGGTGCTTGGATGCTGCTGCGGCCCCTGGGCCTCTGAGGTTGCACGGGGATGTGTGGATGGGTGGCCAGCCCGTGGGACGTGGGCCCAGAATCTGTCAGTCACGTGGAAGAGCCGCCTTCCTGGTGCTCACTCTCCTGCACCAAACCGACCTGCCGTGATGGCTCCTTACAAACCAGATGACTTTGGGTTGCAGACTTACTGAAGGATTTTTTTTCAGTACTGCTTTTTTATTTGCTTTAAGGGCCTGTGGGAAGACCAGGCACATCCTTTTGCCCTCCCCAAGTGAGTGGTGGGGGGCTTGTCAGGTGCCGACTCCTGAGAAATGATTAGCTGCTCTCTTGATGGGGCTTCAGTGGGGAGGGCCAGGGGGCAGCACTGGGAGGGGGAGCTGCTGAGCCTGGGCCCTGCTTCACCTCGCTGGACTCTACAGAATTCAGGGGAGGGTGGAAACTGCTCTAGAAATAAAAGTGAATGCTCCTGACTTCGATCAGGCCTCGTTTGTGTTCAGGAACTTTGTGAACGTGTGGCCACAGCCCTAGACCCTGCCCCTCCAGGCCAGCGGCAGCCATCTTGCCAGCGAAGCATTGCCCAGTGGGTAGGAGCCAGGGTTGACTCCCGCCTGTGCCCCTCAGTGAGGAGTAGGTGAGGCTGAGAGGCTGGCTCAGACCAGACCCAGCCTCCAGCCTGCTTTTCCTCGCAGGTGCTAGGGGCCCACTTCCCCAGGGCTCTCCTGGGGTGCAGATTCGCCCCTGCTGGGCCTTTGCCTGTGTGTGGAACCAGGAACCCACTGATCTTCCCAGGCACAGCCACCTGCGCTGGGGGCTCCTCCACAGCCCCTGGTCACCTGTGGAAGTCTTAAGCGGGTCTACCCGCTTCCACTTCCAGAGACCTCCAGAGCTGCTCGAGGTACCAGGTGCAAACAAATGTGGGGTAAATCAAAACCAGGCAGGATCCACCTGACCCCAGGCATGAACCTTCTGGCCCAGAGGCAAGAACCACACCTTAGTCCTTCCAACCCCGAATTTCATCCCCGGCCCCTCCCCTTCAGCCAAAGAAGTAAGGGGCCGGTGGGAATAACACCCAGACTCTAACTGTATCAGGGCTGCCGAGCCAAATGTGGAGCTAAGGGCTGGACGTGAGGCCCACATGGCCCTCATCGACTCCCCTTTGCCACCTTTGATGGCGACCTGGGCTCAGAGGGAAGACTTCTCTACCATAAGAAGCTGCAGGGGTGATGGCACTGGGTGATGGGAACTCTGGCAAATAGAAAGCAGAATCTTCCCAAGGCCCCGCTTTCTGCAGAGGGTGCTGGCCATGGAGTTGCGCTGAGCGAAGCTGAGTCCTGGTGGTGGTAACGGGAGGATGGCTTCCCAGTGGGCCCCCAGTGGCACCTGTCACTGAGCGAACTGGGGCTTGTCATCCACATTTCAACCTTCTCACTCCTAGAAAATGTTTCTAACCCCTAGATAATGCTCAAGGTGGTGGAGCAAGCAAGGGAAGAAGTCTTTTCCTTAGAAGTCAGAAAGCTGGGGCCTCCCTGGTGGCGCAGCAGGTTGAGCGCCACATTGTGAAGCTGTCCACAGCCTCTGCGGTGCGGGTTCGATCCCGGCTGGCCAGAGAGAATCCCACATGGCGAGGCAGACCTCTCCTGTCTCACCTGCTGTTCCTCTCAGCAGTGTCTGCAGTTCGTCGGCCTGTTCTGCTCCCCACTCTGTCTCTGGTGAATTCTCTCACCCTCCGGCGCCTCTGACCTGTACCCCAGTTCTTGTATGAATAAATAAAAAAATCTTTTTAAAAAAAAGGAAGTCAGAAAGCTGCCTGGACAGGAGGGCTCACACCAGGTCACTGGCCCCAGTTGGCCTGCAGGCCTGGTGGAGCATCCCCCACCCTAAGAGATAACATGGCTCTCTGCCTTCCCCTGGAAAAGACATTTGTTCAGGATCCAGGGAGGAAACACAAAGGGCAGTGGGAGTCTCAGGGCAGTGAACTCGGGGTCCTGCAGACAGGGCTCCATATATGGGAGTTCTCTTCATGAATACTTGTGGGCCTGCAGGAGAGCAGGCAGGCATCAGCCAGGCCCCTACCCAGCTGGGGGACGCCTGGGGACCTTCGCCTCAGCCTGGCCTCACAGGCACCTCTGGTAATACCCTGATGCAAATGGGGAAGAAAACAGGTCTTTGCTCACCAAAAAAAGACCACAAAAGTGTAGTTGGTTCACCTGCCGGCAGAGTTGATCTGTGCGCTCCTACCTGCTGGCAAGAGGGCCAGATGGTTCCAACTTTTTGGAGGCCAACATGGGGACATCTAGCAAAAGCTAAAGTGTCCTATACTTTGACCCAGCAGGTCCCCTCCAAGGACAAAAGGAATGTGCACAAACATTTAGCTCCAAAAATAAATCATCTTTGTGATACCTGTCAGGAGGAAAAATTGAAAACAATCTCTGTCCATGGATATGGGGATTGGTGAGATGAGAGAATATTAATCAGCAATTCAAGACCTAAGGACACGGAAGTGCTCACAGCTTACTAGGCCAGCATCTTGCCACCTTTAGAGAGAAAAATTTCACCCTCTTCTTAAATGCTGAGATTTCAAGACAAGTAAAATGCAAGGAATAGAGGTTTTAGTACAGCACGTCCTCAGATAACATTGTTTTGTTCAACATTACGTCATAACGTTGGGAAAAAACAATCCTAGCCAAAGCCACGTTATCTCAGGACCTTTGCTATCGGTTGTGTCACTGCAAGTTGCTGTTTCTAAGAACCCGCAGACAATGCTAAGTGAGGACTCACTGCACATGCTTTTTAAAACACACAAACCCTTGTTCAAATACATATTAACCCCAAACAGCAGGTCAGGTTGCCACCTAAGCACCATTTCCTTCTACCCATGCCCTGCCATCTTTGCCAGGAGACGCCATTTTTATGTAATGGGTGACCATGCACTTCAAGGGGAAGCGGGGCCCATCCCCAGTCCATGCCACACCTGGTCATTCCACTTTCCTGCCCGAGGCTGACTGTGGAACGGGCCTATGATGTAATTCTGACAGGAGGATGAAGCAACATCTTGGGGAGTTTCTAGAGCTGTTTCCTCAGCGTCAAGGAGACTGTCAAGGAGAGTGAGGATGTGAGCCTGGGCCTGCTGCAGCCAGGGAAGTTATCCACCACATGCCAAGGAGGGCCGAGCAGAGACAGGAGGCCTGAGAGCTCGTAGTGACACTGCCGGACCAAGGGGTTAGCGGCCCTGGAACTGTCCTCCCTCCGGCTACCACGGGAGACAATGCATGTTCTAACTGTGCCGCTTCTGCTTAGCTTTTATGTCAGGCAAAACAAAAATAATACCGACACAACTTCGTGAGGTAAGAAAAGCATATTTTAAAACAACATATACAGCAATAGCCTCTAAAATTTAAATTATGGTGTGTGTGTGTGTGTGTGTGTGTGTGTGTGTATATAGGAAAAATTTTGGATATGCCACGTTTCAACTTTGGTATAAAGAGCACCAGAGAAGGAGTCTCAAGAGCTCTGATGAAAATCCAAATAAAAAAGCCACTTTGCAGAGCTTCTAGCAATGCCTGTTGAAGTCAGAGACACCCATGACCCTTCACCCCAGCAGCTCCTCCAGGGCTTAAGCCCTAGACAGCAGGGATGGGCAAAGACCGCCTTGGGCTCAGTCCAGTCTGCCTCCTATTTTTTTTTTAAGATTTATTTTATTTATTTATGCATATAAGAGCTGGGGTGCAGGCCAGAGATGCGGGGGATGAGAAAATCCACCAGGACAGAGTGGGGAGCAGAACAGACAGACTGACTGAAATACACTGCTGAGGGGAGCAGTGGAGAGACAGGAGAGGTCTGCTGCGCCATGTGGGTAGCTCCCTGGCCGGGGATCGAACTAATGCCGCAGTGGCTGCAGGTAGCTTCATAGTGCTGAGACTTAACCCCTTGCACCACCAGAGAGACCCAACTGCCTCCTATTTTTGTACTACCAGAGTGCTGAGGTTTTTAAAGGGTTTCAAATGGTTGGGGGGAAAAAAATCAAAAGAAGAGTGTTTCATGACGTGAAATTCAAATTCCAACGCCCATAAAGTTTTGAAATTTTTTCATAACAAAATTATGGAAATTTATTTTCTCTCATTATAAGTACCTATATAATTTTTTTTTCCGGTCCCTTGGGACATAAAGCCAAAAATTGGCACATAAAGCCCATTTGCTCACCCCTGCCCTTACTCATGCACAGCAGACACCTATGAGGATGTTCGTAAAAGCAAATCATGAGAAACCACCTGAATGTTCCTCGCTGGGAGAACGCATAAGCCACGGCACAGGAACCTGGGGACACGACTCCCCAGTGATGACACCAAAGCGCAGGCATCAACGTGGGTAAATCTACAATGTGAGGGAGCCGGGAAGCAAGCTGGCAGAAGGCAGTGGAAGAGGTACCCATAAGCCCGTGTAAACAATGGTTCTTAGGATGTGGACAAGCGTGAAGCCAGGCTGGAGGATAGACACCAAGGGCCCCCCTGGGGAGGGGAGACAAGGGAGGGTTTGCACTTAAACTGTGCTCCCCACACCCGGCTTCCCCTGTATCTTGACGCTTCTTTTCCTAACATGGCCGCAGGGAACCAGTTCATCATTTGTGCCAATTTGCAAATGCACCTCTGTCCTCCCTGACTCTGGTGGAGGGGGCGGAGTGACTAAGCCAGCTGGCCCTGACCCTGACCCCAACCTACCCATCAGGTAAGTTTTAGTGCTGAGTGGTAAGATCAAAATTGGTAATGGCATCCCCGCAGGCCTTGAGAGCCAAAATTCTTAGCACGGGTGGGGGAGGGCAGAAATGAGGGTCATTAAAAAGGCTATGGTCCTGAATTTTAAAGTGTGTGAACTTGTGATTATTATTTTTTAAATGTAAATCTGTTCCTGGCTCTACCCTTTGACAAGACCTAGAAACAGTGAGCAACCCGAGACAGGGATCATCCCTTGCTCTCAAATACGTAACTTTGCAGTAAAGGACCCAGGACTCTGGGGAAACACTTGGCTCCAGGACCTGGGCAGGAAACACACAAGATGAGCCTGGAGCCCCTCGTCATGGCGGAGAAGGAAGAAGCAATCGAAGGTTCCAGGGCCATGTCAGCAGGACTCAGGAGATTTGCGTCCTTGAAGCCTTGAGGAAGCCACAGACAGGAATTTGAGCATCAATAACAACAATAATGCAATGGGCAGGAATACTTAAAATATGCTGAAATCAATGAGTTTGTGACACTTCCAAACAAAAAAATAGTCACTGTTGGCAGATTCTAAGGCATTGATTCATTATATTCAGTGAAAATAAAAGGAGAGAATTGAGCGCTTGCCCTCCTCAAACCATACCACTGGCAGCCGAATAGTAGATAGGCGTTTGCTTTGACTTTTTCAAAATAGAATCATAGATGTATAGGAAGTGGAAAAAAAAATCCAGTCAGGCCCCCATGTAGCACTGCACCCAGTTTCCCCAGTGTGACATCTGGCACCACTAGAGAGCGCTGCCACAACCAGGAAACTGCCGTCGGTACCATCCAACAACCCTGCCCAGATTCGTGTGTGTGTGTGTGTGTGTGTGTGTTCACACGTGCATATGCTTCTGTAACAATTCTATCACATGTGCAGACTCACATCCCACCACCATGGGGAAGTTTCCCACCTACTTCTCCCACGAAAGTCCCTGCCCCACCAGGGAGAGTCCTCAAGCTGGTTTCCTATCCCTCCACTGCCTCAGCCTCAGTCACCGGCTCCCCAAAGTCAGCTAGTGGCAGGTTTTCCCAGGGAGTCATCACTGGAGGTTCTTCAGGCCGCGGGACTTCTCAGATACAAGGCTCTCTCCTGCAGTTGAATTTCAGTTTCCTTCTCTGCGAAGATCCAGGTTCACCTGGTCCCGCCCACACCTGTCTACTCAGCTGGCTCTGACTGGCCCCACCCACTCATGCCTTCTCAAAGTGGACATTCCCAATTGCCTTTTCTGTTTACGAACATCAGTGGGGCTGCCCAGGGTGCCTGGCTAAAAAGAGCCATGCAGCTGGGGAAGCAGCTGAGCTCCAACCATGGCCATGACGTGCATCTGGCTGACCGTGGTGGTGGTGGTGGCTCTGGCCAGCGCAGGCCCTGTCCCCACTTCCAAGCCCATCACAAACAGGAGGAACTGCCACATGGGCAGATTCCGATCTCTGTCGCCGAGGGAGCTGGACGCCTTCAGGAAGGCCAAGGATGCCCTGGAAGAATCGCTCTCCATGAAGAACTGGAGCTGCACCACTCGCCCCTTCCCCAGGACCAGGGACCTGAAGCACCTGCAGGTGTGGGAGCGCCCTGTCGCCTTGGAGGCTGAGCTAGACCTGACGCTGAAGGTCCTGGGGGCCCTGACCAACTCGTCCCTGGGGGCTGTCCTGGACCAGCCCCTTCGCACCTTGCGGCACATCCACTCGGAGCTCCAGGCCTGCGTCCCAGCTCCACCCACAGCAGGCCCCAGGCCCCGGGGCCGCCTCCAGCACTGGCTGCACCGGCTCCAGAAGGCCTCGAAGGAGGAGTCCCAGAGCTGCCTGGAAGCCTCTGTCACGTTCAACCTCTTCCGCCTCCTCACACAGGACCTGAAATGTGTTACCAGTGGATACCAGCGAACGTGAGAAAACCGGCCCAGCCCAGCCCACCTGGGCCCTAGACTCTATTTATGCGCCAAGCCCCGTGTCTGCTTAAGTTATTTCTTCTCACCTCTTATTTATTGTATCTATAAGAAACGTTTATTTTTCTACCTGTTTACAATATGGACAAATAAGCAATAAGGAATTGGGGCGGGGGGGGAGACGACCTCCAATCTTCAGATGAGAGAACAACATGCGCAACAACAGCAGGGACCCTGATCAGCCATTTCAGGCGGGCAGATTCTGAAGGACAATGTGGCCGAGTCTTCGATAGACACATGTCAAGGAAGAAAAGAGTGTGTAAGGCGGGCCAGTAGAGTAAAAGTGAGTTAAAGATCTTTAGAGACTTGATTTAGGCCCTGATACAAACTTCTCAAAATACGGGTTTCTAAAGCAACTGGACATGAGGAGCACGGAAATATCTGCCGTTAAGGAAATGTAATAAAAATGTAATAAAAATTGTAATAAAAATGGTGTTATCCTATTTTCAAAGTCCTTGTCTTGAAATGTATATAGTGAAATAGCCGGAAATGAAACTGATGCTTGGAATGTGCTTCCGAGGAATTGAGGCGTGGGGAAGGGGATGGACGGGCAGCGAGGAAATCAAGTGGCCACAAGCTGGGCACGTGGACTGCTGAAGCTGGGCGCAGCACGCGTGGGGCTCATCATACTCACTTCTTTGCCAGTGGAAGGTTTTTTAAATAAGCAAATAGAAGAGGTATAGCTTAAGCAAGTTCCTCATTTCTCTCTGGAGCCAGAGAGGAAGGCAGCCTGGCAGTGATGGCAGCCTCCTAAGCATCAGGGACCCAGCCCCTTCCTGCCACCATCTCTGCATTCATCCAGCCGCCCATTCCAGCCATCACAGCCGGGAAGGAGATGGAGGGTGGACGAAGGACAAACTCCTTCCCTTGAAGGACGTGTCTCCGAAGCCCCACAGGGCACTTTCCCATCCCAGGGAGCAGTCAGTCATGCAACGGTGCTGGCTGCATGGGAGGCTGGGAAAGGCATTTTTTCTGGATGGCCTGGAAAATGGTCTGAAAATCAGAGCTTCTATTAATTAGGGAGGAAGGGATAAATGGAGATTGGGGTACGACCGGCAGTGTCTGCCACCGCTCTCGTCCCACTGAGAATGGTGATCAGGTGTGCAAGATACCACAGATTGGCACTCCGGGCTGGCAGCAGAGCTAACGTGCAGCTGGTGGGCCTGCCGCGGTTTAAATATGCTTGTCATTTACATATACAAATCAAGCAACCTGCTCTGAGGTCTCAGCTCGCTCCACCTCAGATGCGGAGTGAGCCTCTGGCTTCCCCGGCTCTCCCAGGCTGCGTGTTCCTCTCTAGGAAGCCGCTGCTCCAGGCCCCCAGGAAGGCAGTGCCATTTCCTGTGCCGGCACTGACAGCAAAGCTCAGCATCTGGGCCCTGGTCTGGCCCGAGGCCTGGTCATTTGGCCAGCCAGTGCTTGCCATGCAGAAACCTGTAGGGTCTCTTCCCGGACAGCTGGACCACCTCGCAGGGACAATCCCAGCGGTGGTCAGCATCACAGGCACAAAGGCCTAAAAGCAGGGCCCACAGCTGCTCTCCACCCTTAAGAGGTAGCCATATTTTGCTTTTAAGTCAGCTTTCATTTTAGAAAACACCTCAAACTGATTTTTAAAGTGATTCTTACAATTGCTGTAAATGGAAAAGAGGTATGGCCTGCCTTAAATAGAAGTAACTGGAAACTCAGCAAAGATTCTGCTGAAGCCTCTGAGCCTGACGCCTACTTTCTCTGCTGAGACAAGCTGGCACTGAGCTGACTTCCTCCTTGAGGCATTACAGGGATTGAAAAAAATTCAGAGTGGAGTTAATTTTTTTCATGATGCTCTTCAATGTGTATTTTTTTTTTTGACTAGATCACAAATACTTTATTAGGTAAAATTACAAATGCCAATTATAATTTAAAACACTAAATGCAATTTGTTTTTCCCAGTGTTATGTTTAAAAGTCAAATATAAATAATGTATAACCAAAGCCCTAAATGTATTTAGAATTTTTCCACTATGATAAACTCCAACAAAAGTAGAAACTCTACTTATTCTAACAAAAATGTTTACCACTATATACTTAAGAAATATAAAACACACACATGCAAACCAAACCACCGAAAGTGACCGTGAATGGGCTGCAGCCGGCAGGCCCCGCTGCCACTGAAGGGAGGGGAGTCCTTCCTCACGGTGGTCAGACTCCGGCTGTGGCAACATTCTGTGTGGGAAGGTCTCTTAAAAAGAGAACTCAAGGGCCTCCCCGGTGGTGCAGCGGTTGAGCGCTGGGTTGCGAAGCTGCCCGCGGCCTCTGCAGTGCCGGTTCGATCCCCCCGGCTGCTCCCCGGCCACCAGAGGAGGGTCCCGCATGGCGCGCAGACCTCTCCTGCCGCCCGCTGCTCCCCTCAGCAGTGTACTTCGGTCCTTCTGCCTGCTCTGCTCCCCGCTCTGGCTCTGGTGAATCCTCTCACCCTCCCACGCTTCTGACTGTACCCAGTGTTTGCATAAATAAATAAATAAATCTTTAAAAAAAAAAAAAAAACAGAACTCAATTCATGACAAGGAACATCTCACCGAAAGCAAACTTTTAGGCATGTAAGTACCCAGTATCCTGATTTTGTCTTCTGGTGTCACTTGATGAAACCCCACTGCCCCGGTCTTGACATGTCCCTGGGACAGTGAGGACGTGTCAGCGACGAGACCACCAGCGAGAGCGCCAAGAAGGCCTGCAATGCCCCTGACCGCCTGCCAGCTGCCCCCATCATCTCCCTGCAGCACGCAGTCTCTCTTGGGAAACCTGGCTGATCTCTACACACCTCGTCTCCCCAGCTGTCGGGGGAGGTCGTAACTGTCCCTCTAACAAGAGGGTGTCACGTAGGAGCACACGCGTAACATCTGGGCGCCGAGAGCGCCTGGCCCCCAGAGGCGCTCAAATGCTATTTTTGTCAGCCCCTCAGAAGAGAAAATGTGAGTTCTGCCACTAAAGAACTAAGAGACGGCCCAAGCAAACACCCTCTCCCCACCCCCCGGCCTCCCCCCACCGCCATCCAGGCAACCCAAAATTCAAAGCAGTGGGGAGAATGGACATAAAACCCCAAACATTTCATTTAACAATGGAAGACACTTTATTATTTTTAAATCATCTCTCAACATTTCAACGCTTGGTATAAATCAAATGCAAAACATTTGCATTTTTAAATTAGCATATATTGAACTATCTCAATCACAGCAACCTCATACAGTAAGATACACACCAAGACGAGCACGGCCATAGCATTTCCTACTCCAGTCCGCGGGCGCGGTGTTCTGTGACGACACGGACGCTGGACGCGCAGTGCACGCGCTCCCCCAGGTGACCGAGTCGGTCCTGCTTTTGTTCGCTGTATAAGTTAAGTTACGTGGCATCACGGTTAGTTAAAAGATTTGTTACTGTAGTGCTAGAGCGATCTAGAAATGGAAAACTAGAAAACTAGAGCTCTCAGGAGTGGGACAGGCATCGACACTTCTGAAACGTGAAAAGGAAGAACATCAAAGATGAATGCCCCAGAATGAGCTGGTCTTAGTAGTAAAGTTGGGTGAAACTCAGTTTCATTTACACAGTGAGTATCTACACGTGATCTACTAGATATATAAAAAAGAGCAGTAGAAGATCTGGAAAACCTTAAAATCACTCAACTGAGTTGGAAGAACATCAGCAAATTCACAGTGGCCTCAGGATTCAGCCAGGTTTAAATCTGCTCAAGAGCTGAATGCCTCCAGAAACCCACTGCACGGAAATCCCTTCAACACTCTGGACATCACAAACACTTATGGCTAAAATATATTAATTCACAAGAAAGCGGTTTTATTTTCAAACTCTTGCCCCACTCCTGCTCTGCACCCCAAAAGGAAAATCCAGGGTCAGTCATTCACATGAAGAGTGGAGGGGCGAGCTGGTTTGGAAGCGCCGAGGCTCAGCGAGGATCTCAGGAGAGGTCTGCCGGGTGGGTGCACGCCGACTCCAGCCCACTTTTAGTGCAAAAAGATTGCAGAAGTTGCAAGGAGTCCTGGAAGCAGGTGACGAGAAGAGAGAGGACTGAGATGGAGGCTGGGCGGGGGGAATCCCAAACGGTGCTCTTTCGGAAACAAGACTCAGGAAGTTCGGAGCGCCAGGCCCCGATCCGGCAAGTGGCAAACACCGGCTGCAGCTCCGAGGGGTGAGGTTCCCGAATCGCCGGCACTAGGCTCTCACCGTCCACAGGGGCCCAGACGCAGGGCCCGCACCGACCCCCAAAGTGCACACTGGAGGTAGGTGTGTAGAGGTTTCCTGGAGGGGAGACGGTGGCTCTCCACCAACCCGGCGCCATCGGCTCTGTGCCTCCTCCGCCCCCATACTCTGTTCCAGCCTGGAACTGTGGTGAGCAAGGCTACCAGGTGGAAGGGCATGGACTCCCTCCCCTTTGGAAGACTAATGAACCAGGACATTTTTATAAATAGCTACATAATTAACCTCTTAACCACTCTGAAACACATGGCAAGTTGGATATTTATTTAAAAATAAATCTCAAAAATATCTATTTACAGTACAGTAAAAGGGGCGTGTGCAAACAGACTGGGGGAAGTCGGGCCTGCCGTGGAAGGTCCACCCTTTACTGAGCCGAAGCCAAGGTCACAACCCCATGGGCTAAACTGAGCTGTGGTGCCGCAGGACGACACTCAGCTAACACTTGTCTCGGTTCACCTCTGGAACCCAGAGGGGAGGGGAAGTCAGGGTGCAGGACATCCAAGTGGGGGACGCTGGTAACTGGGAAGGGGGCAGCAATGAAGGGCTGAGCCCCTGGAAGAGGCCGGGTATGGCAGGAGGGCTCATTTCACAAGCCAACAGGCCTCTAGCTCGCCGCTCCAGGTGGGTGTTTGGAGGTGACCTGGAAGGCCCTTCCCAGTCCAAGTTGGCTTTGGGGTAGGAGTGGGGGTAGACGTGGCAAGTCGCAGAGATAGAAATGCTCTTAAAAAACAAAACAAAACAGAACAAGAGAAATCCAGAACGGGGAGTGGAGTGATTAGCAAAAATGAATCTGAACTGAAGTGCCACGCTCTCCCTTGTCAGGCGACGGAAGCAGTCACCCGTTAAAAGCTCTGAATTGCTAAGTGAACTCCTACAGGGTACAGCCAGCCCCAATCCCCACCCCTCACCCCGTACCCACAGGGTCAGGGGCAGGTCTCTGCTTCTGAGATCAACGCATCACACTTCTTCCCCATGACACTGGAAAGGTCAGTGGTGTAGCCCTTGTAGCAGGGAGGCGCATGGTCAAGTCTATCTGTACACGAGATGGGAGAACTGGGTGGACTTGTAGTTCAGCTGGTGGTTGGGTATGAACTTGTGCAGCTCACTCTTTTTGCAGCAGGGGTCGAAATGGTAGGCGCCGAGGCAGGCGTCGCAGGAAACTTTAGAGCACTGCGTGCAGGTGTTGGTGGCGCCCGGGCGGTTACAGAAGCCACAGCGGGAGGTGGCTGTGGTGGAGGAGGGTCTGGATTTTGAGTGGAGGTGCGGCAGCCGGTCGAGGCCCGGAGTCTGGCCCACATACTTGTCCCGCAGAGATGAGCCCTGGGCCAGGTTGTCGTGGGAGGAGGCCTTGCCTGGGAAGGCGCCCGGCTTGGAGGCCGGGGGACAGGTGATCAGGCTCTCGCAGCGCTGGCAGAGTGAGGAGCTGCTGGGCAGGCCGCAGTTTTGGCACTTGCACAGGGCCGACTCTTTGGCGGGGGGCGAGCGCTTGTGGTACAGGGGGTGGGCGTCGTTTCTGACCAGCCACACGTCCGGCCGCAGGGCATCTTGCCTTCGGTATGTGGCCCTGGGTTCCGAGTCTGTGTACAGATCCACGTCATCCTGAGCCGAGAAGTACGTGCTGCGCAGCAGGCCCTGGCCGTTGCTGGGGGATGGGGAGGGAAGGTCATCGTGGCTGCCATGCGGGGAGCTGGACATGGCCAGCAGTGAGGGGGATGGGCGGATGATCTCGTCCTTGAGGTCGTCCCCCAGGTCCGCCACCACCGGCTCCTTCCGCAAGCTCAGCGAGGCCTTCAGGGGCGGCTTCCGGCTCTCCCAGTAGCTGTCATAGGCGTCCACCGACCTGGAAGGTTTGGTCACGCGGGGCTTGTAGTAGTCCTTGGCCGCCCGCTCACTGGCCGACTTCTGGAGCGCCACCCGCGCCATGGAGGCCGTGAGGTGTTCCCGGCCCTCAGCCCGCCGCCGCAGGGCGTCCGAGCAGCCACGCACGTCCTCGGCGCTGCTCTTGCGCTCGCTCACCACGTCCAGCTCGGAGTAGCCCTTGTCCTTGACTTGTGAGTGGATTTCCAGCATCTGCTCGCACTCCACCTTGGCCAGAAAGAGTTCAAAGGAGACCATCTTGACCTGGAGGGTCTCCACGAGCTCTTTGAGCTTGTACACGGTCCCCAACTCGGGCACATAGCCCATGTAATTCAGGATGGCTCGGATGTCCTCTTCCAGCAACGTGGACTTGACGTAATAAACGAAGGGGCCTGTGTAGGTCTAGAAGAAGCAAGCGGGGCAGAGAGAGAGAGAGAGGGGTGGGGTTTCTCTCAGACACGCGCGGCGGAGGTGTCAAAGCAAAGACACTCAAGTCTGAAGCCAGCGTGCAGGGAGAGGGGCGGGAGGGCACGACCACAAGCGCCCCTCATGGAGGCGGCCAAGGCTCCAGCGCCCACCGCTCAGCAGCTGGGGCGCGGAGGGCTCCACATCGCTGCTTTCTTACGGGGAGGAAACCAAGCCACTGCCGCCTGGATGCAGCGGCTCTGCGGCAGGGAGGAGGGAGGGGGCGAGCACAGGTGACGGGAGGGGAGCAGAGCGGAACCCCAGTGAGCAACGTGAACACAGCCACCAGTTTTACTGCACCTCCAGATACTGGGATTTTTACACCCCCCGAAAAATTCCAACTTGCTGAAGGCGCAGATGATAGCATTATTTTTAGCAATCAAGTTTTTCAATTCTGCACAGTCTTCCAGACACACTGCGGTCCGTGCTCAACGGACTGCGCTGCAGCGGGAACGTAACCGTGACAGGCAGTGGCAACCAAAAAGGTCTACGACTGGCTTTACCGTGTGCTGGCTTTCCTCACTGCGGAAGTCTAGAACCAAACCCATCGGCAGCTGTGAGGTGAGGCGGGCCTGTCTTCCTTTCTGACACTTCTGCCAAGGTCTGAAGAACAGGCTCGATTTAAGAGCCTGGCCTGATGGAAACGCCCAGCCGTGACTGCCACCATACCAGTTCTCCATTCTCTCTCAACGCCTCCTTCCTCCCCTGTTACCACTTCGTCCAAACTGTCTCAGCGAGTGCAGACATCTGTGGCAGCCTCCTAGCCGCGCTCCTGCCCCACTCTTGCAAGTGTAAACCTGACCCTGGTCCTAGTGAGCTTTGCAGCCCGCGCAGAATAAATGCGAGCCACGGGCCCTGGCTGTCAAGGCCCTGCATAACCAGGATGCCGCCTACCTCTCCGACCTCCCCACTTGAGGTGTGAGCTACCGGGGCAGAGACCCAGTTAAGAGACATCACTAGACAGACAAGGAAGGTGGGGAGCCTGGAGGAAAATCTGGTGGTTATCTCAAAGCGGGGAACCCAGGGTTGTCCAGGGGCAAACGGGTACAATCTCAGAACGGACCGGAGGGGTAGGACGGGAGAAGGGAGGTCAGTGCGGAGGGCCCTTCCCTACGCCTTACCTTGATGCTTCTGAATTCCTTCTTCCACGGGTAGAGGAAGAGATTGATGCCCACTGTTTCCAGCACGCTGAAGGCGCCGTGCAGAGCTTGCAGGCTGGAGGAGCGCAGCGAGCGCAGGGAGCTCTCCACCACTTCGTAGAACTGGATCAGCCGGAATCGATAAAAGGGATCCACATTGTGCAGGCTGAGCAGGGTCGAGGCGGCTGCCCGCAGGTGCTCATCACTGCCAGGGCGCTGCGTGCTGGGGGTGGCGTCCACTTTGCCCTCATGAAACTGCACGTACTTCCGAAATAAGTCATCCTTGTATTTTGTATCCATTGAACTGGGCTTCCCCATCCGAGCCAGGAAGGGGGCTACCTTATCTCCTCCATAGCTTCTGGGTCAGAGGCAGGGACATGGCTGCAAGCCCTGACCTGTGGCCCTCCTGGACCAGCGGAGTGCTCTGGAAGGAGAAGAACAAGGACGTCATTCCTCAAACCGCTCCAGCCGGGCTGCTGAGGCAACACAAAAACCACCACTTGTCTGAGCCACACTGGGCACACCGGGTCCCTTTCTACTCTTTGTTCAATACAGTTACTGAACACGTACTACGTGCAAGGTTGCGGTGGACAAGACAGAGGAGATCCTTGACTTTGTTGAGCTCACTGATGAAAAATATGATTAGGGGCAGCTAATCTCCTGTGGGATGACAGTTTTATAAAAGCCCCCCCATGGGCAGGGAAGGTTAGAGAATGAGGAGTTTGCCAGACAAAGACACAGGCAGAGATGGCAAGATGTAGCAGGAGGAAGGCCCTGCGCTAATAATATCAGCACTTTCTACAGGCTGCTGCATCTCTGTACTGGCATGCCCATCTTCCAGATATAAAAACTGAGGCATGGAGGCTTTAAGAAACTTGCCCAAAGTTACTGAACTATTAAGAGGCAGGGCTGAGATCAGAGCCCAGGGAGTTTGGCTCCAAAGTCCATGCCCCTAACCACCACACCCTGCTTTCCTGGGGCAGGAAGGAGGTTGGCATGTGAACAGAAAGAAAGCTGATAGGGCTGAAGTGGTGAGAACAGAGCAGAGCAGGAGACCAATCTGCAGACAAAAGCAGGACCCCAATTCCCAAGGATTTTGCATTTTATTCAAAGAGCCATGAGAAGCTACTGAGAGCAGAAAACAAGGAGGAGAGTGACATGATCGTATCTGCAATTTTAAAGTTGGCTGCTGAACCCCAACAGAGGGCTTTTATCCACCTCTGGTGGCCTGCAACCCCGTCCTTACACACACTTCATAGCCCCATACTGGCAGGGACACACAGGACTTATCCACTCATGCTGTCTGCTTGGCCACGTGTAGTGGAGCACGCACAGCTCCAGCAGTGTTCTTGGAGCCACAATGCGGGAACCAATCTGGACTCATTGCAGGAGGCTGCCAGGCCTAGGGGAGGCAAAACAGCACCAGGGCTGCAATGGCAGACTCCAAAGTCAAGCCGCCAGGCAAACTTTTCCACTTCTCCAAGCCTCAGTTTTTGCTTCTGAAAAAGGCGGCTGGGGGAATATTAGCAGTACCTGGAGGCCAGAGTAGAGATGGTGGATTTTATGCAAACTGTAGCTAAAGTTCTTGGCAGAGTGCTGGCCCAAAGCCAAACCTCAATACACCGAAGCTATTCCGAGTGTCTGAAGGGGCAGCACCCCCCAAGATGCCAAGCATTCGCAAGAAGGTACGGTGAGAGGGGAGCCAACCGCTCCGGGTGGGTGGTGGACATGCGCTCTCGCCCTCGCCCGGCTGCCTTTCCTGGCCCCAGAAGCACAGAGTTCGTCCCAAGGGCCTGCGAGTCCGGCATGAGTCAAAGTCATCGGCACCCCAACAAGTTACTGTCTGGCCTCACAGGAGATGCTGGGGATCTTCACTGTGGGGTAAGATGTGCCAGAGAACTAGGGACAGAGCAAAGCCACCTTCTCCCACTGCCCTGCCCAGAAAGCCGAATGCCTCGGAACAGTCTGAGACGCCCACAAGGCCAGATCCATTTAGGATAAAAGACAACATGTGACCAAGGTCAAAGGCTTGCCGTGGTCAGATCCCTGCTCACCCCGTTCCCTCTCGCTTCCACGCACACGGGCATGCCTTTCGATTCCTCCAACACATCACGCTCACATCGATCTCAGGACCTTTGCACTAAGTTGCTCCTTGTTCTTCCTCCAACTCTTCCCACAGCTGACTCATCTTATTGTTGAGCCTCAGGGCCAAAGTCATCCCCACAGGGCCTCCCACAGTCCCGCGCAGTGACTCTCATCTTCCCATCCCTCACTAAGGCATATCCTATAATCACATCTGAAATTATCAGCTTCACTTATTTACTTGCTTCCTGTCTTCCCCATTACCCCATAAGCGCCACAAAAGCACTTTTTTGTTCTGTTTTGTTCACCAGGATGCTTAACACAGGCGTTTGATAAAAACACACGAGACGAAGGGTGCAAAGGACGCAAGCACTCACGCCGCCAGCCGCTAGCTTCTCAGCAATCCCAAGAACACTGGGGGATCAGGTGGAGAGGAGGCGCCGGCGCCAGGACACATCGTGCTGTGAGCAGCTCAGGGTCAGTGGAAGGTGGCCTCTGACTTGACCCTGTGTTCCTCCCACCACCCCGTGTCTCCTCTGTTCAACACACACTTCTGCAGGCCTGACTGGGTACAGCAGGGGGATGTGGGATGAGCAGGGGGCAGCAGTAGCGGAGACACGGCCCCGTCCGGCCCTCAATTCTAGTGGGACGTGCTTACTGTTTAGCATCAAAGTACCCACATGTGTTCCCTTTAAATATAAAAAAGTGTTGCAACCTGGAAGACACGCCTTGCTGTCCTTGCTAATAAAAGCCCACATGCATTTACTGTTTTATTAATCGAAGAGAAGCTTCCATCCTGCCGCTGGCCCCAGGGAATGTTTTTTGGCACATCTGAGACCCATTTAAACAGAGGAATATCAAGCCTTCTAAACTGCTGCGATTTTTCTCCAAAGAAGTTATCCGAGAGCCATAGGGGCTGATTTTTTTCCCCCCAAAGACAGCCACCCTCAAGCTCAGCATCTGCTGCTCTGTAATCACGCCACAGTCCGCACCCTTGATTGTTGCTGGCAAACACAAACAAGGAAAAGGGATCTAAGCAGCCAGCGGGTGTTCAAAATCCTGAAGTCAAGGTGGGAAACCCATCTGAGAAGAATCTTGAGCTAACCTAGGCGGGTGAAAGAAATGAATGCTAAAAGATAATTAAGGAACGTAAGTGAGAAGGAAACAAACACTGAGGTTCTGCCGTGTGCAAAGCCCTGGACTTTCCACCTGAACTGCATCATCCTGTTTCATCTTCACAACACCACTGCGAGGAAACCACGGTTCAGTCATAAACAGCCTGCCGACAGAACTGAAGGGGGTAGAGCTGGAATTTGAACCCAGGTTGACAGACCCTGAGACCTGTGCTTCTTGCCACTCAGCTCACCCACTTACTGTTCCAATGGGTGCCGTTCACCAAGGGAGTAGTCCCTGAGGACCCTCTGCTAAGTGCTGGATGAAAATCAGTGAAATGCACACAACAGCCCCAAGGTTAAAGAAGGAAAACAGGCTCAGAAAGGCCCAGGAGCTTGCACTACATCACAAGGCTAGGAGAACATGGACCTGATATCAGAACTCAGGCCTAATGCCAAACCCTGACTCCAGCTCTGAGCCACACCACTCCGAAGCAAAGCTGTCCGGCCGCATCTGGACAGCTCTACTTGAAAGCACTCAACTAAGAAGGCCCTGTGGCAAGGAAGGCAGCGTTGAGTTCCAAAAATTCCTGTCGTAGCGAAAGTCCCATCTTCCCGCACAGAATGAGGCTGGAAGAACCACAAATCTCTTTATGATGTAAACTCAAGGGCCAAGGGAAGAGGCTGGCCTGACAGTGGCCAGTGGGGAAGCAGCTGACATCATCCCTGCTGAATACATTTTCTGAGAATACAGGCTGCATTGTGGCTGGTCAGAGCCGGTGTTTCTGCTGAGCACAGAGCCAGCAATTTATTCCCAGCACTCTGCAAGAACAACAAAAAAACACACTCTCTGCAAAAACAGCGTGGTTACAGGAGATCAAGACAGCACAGTGACAGAAGCCATTAATTTCTCCAAGCAACCCAAGGACTGGGACGCCAAGATGTGCCAGTCTGGCAGGAAAAAAAAAAAAAAAAAAAGCACAGTGAACATCCCTCACAGAGCCAGGCGAGTGCCCAGAGCCAACAGTCCTGGTCAGCTCCTCCTCTGCCCACAATCAATGAAGAGCCTAACACATGGCAGTCAAGGAGGCAGTGACTTTAACTACAATTTCTTAAACATCTCAAAGGAAAGCTGCATCTGCTTAAAATCGAAATGAGTCCGGGCAGCAAAGCATTCGCCTGGCTTTCCCTCAGCTGGCCCATTCAAGCAGAAATGCTCCCCAAGCAGCATTTGAAGGCGCTCCCACTGTGCACAGGCAAATGCTATTTTGGTCCGCGCCGGGCCCTCGTCCGTAGGTTTAAAGCTCTCGGCTCTACCTTCAGCCTCTCAGAGTCGCCTGAGCCTCCAAAAACAGTAAGAGGAGCGCATGTCAACCCCCTCCACCTCCGCACCCCGTTCCTTCGCACTCCGTCCAAGTTGGAGGCTCCTGAGACACATCCCAGGCACCTTCCAAGGGCCGTGAAAGACCAGAGAATCCCTGCACCCCAACCAGACTCCAGAGAAATTCAGAAAGTCCGTTCCAAACCTCTGAAAACCCCTCGGCGGCGCCGAAAGCCCGTCTCCCCCCGAGCAGCCGTCTGTCTGGGGGGGCTCTGAAGGAAGCGGTTTCCCCTCCCTGCGAGGACAGAGGCTGGAGGCTGCACCTCCCAGTTTCGTAATTCCTGCCGCCGCGAGGGCCACACCGCCTGTGAGGACACCCCCGCCGGGGCGCGGGCGCTCCCCGGGCTGCGGGCGAGCCAGCGGCAGCCGCCGCCCGCCGGGGCCCCGCACACACCCTCTCACGCCGTGCCCGCCGCGGGCCTCGGAGGCGGGCTCGCTCCCGGTCAGCGAAGCAGCAGCGGCGGCTCCGGCGACTCGGCCAAGGTCACGCGGCGAGACCAGAGCCGGGGCCGCCGCGGCGTCCGGGCTGCGGGGTCCGCGCGGCCACCGCCTCTCGGCCGAGCCGCGGGAGCCCCCCGCCCGCCGGCCGCGAGAGCCGAGCCGCCCCGGGCCAGCGCGGGCCAGCGGCACCGGGGGTCCCGGAGAAGTCGGGGTCCTGGGGACAACCCGGGCCCCCGACGCCGAAAAGGCGGGTCCGCCCGCCGGCCGCTCCCGGTCCCGCCGAGCCCAGCCGAGGCGGGCGCCCCCTCCGCGCGGGGAAGTCCCGCGGGCCGTTTCCGCCCCGGCCGCCCGCACTCACCCCGGCACCGCCGCCCACGCCCCGGCCGAGGCAGGCAGGGAGGCGCCGCGGCCGCCGCCGGAGCCCGGCCCGGCTCTCCTCGCTCCGGCCGGCTGCAGGGGACCGAGACCAGTACCGGGGGCCAGTGGCGACCCGGAAACACTCGGCTAGGAAGTGACGTCGCTCGGGGGCGGGTCCACGGGGAGGTCGGGCCGCGGCTGTGTGCTGGGCCGGAGAGAGGCCGAGGCCTGCGGGCGACGGGGCAAGAAACCGGAGGCAGAAAGGCGAGCCGACTGCCCCGGACATCCCTCCCTGGGCCCGGAGGACCGGCACAGCGGCCGACACCGGGACCCGGAAATAAAGGGCACGGAAGTGACGCACGCCGTCGGCCCCGCGCTGGCAGCTGGCTGGGTTGTCATGGCAACCGGTGGAGGCGGGGCGCGGCGCCTTCCGACCCTGCGACCCCAGTCGCCGCTGCCCGGCCAGCCCCTCGCGGAGACGAATGTTGGGCTGCGCTCGCGACCGCCCGAGCGGGAGACCACAGTTGGGCCCCTCACCCCCATTTTACAGACGGAAATATCGAGGCTCCGAGACAGCAAATGAGATGCTCGGGGTCACGCGACGCCGAAAGAAGCCTTGAGAGTCTGGTGGATGCTGAAGCTGAGCTTCAGAGCGGGGCTTTCCCAGCGTTGCACTTGCTGCTTCGTAGCTGTGTGAGCTGGGACGAGCCAACTAACTCTCTGAGCCTCACCTTTCCCGCCTGAAAATGGAATAATCATAGTTCCACTTCCTGGGATTCATGTGGAAATTGAGTCAATCTGTGGAGACCGCTTATGACACTAGTTGGCATGTAATAAGTCTAAATGCATCTTCTTTTTAAAATCTGGTTAAGTCAAAGGAAATGACCTCTCTTGGCCCTCAACTTCCCTAAAGCGGAAGCCAGAGTTGGGGGAAACTAAGCCAAAATCTTGCTTCCTTGCTCTGCAGCTTTTCACCAGGCAACTACAATACCTGCATAGTTTACCTGGCATCAGCCTTGGTGGCTTAGCATATCAGTTGGTGGATTTGTCTGTACTCCCACCCACCACATTCAACATGAGTTCCCTGAGGACTAGACTCTTGTGGTTCACCACTCACTGAAGCCCTGGTGCTGGCAAAGTGCCTAGCACATATTCAAGACTGTTAAACATATTTGCAATCAAACCTTTCATTCTACCTCTATAACTCAGCCCAGACATTTACAGAAGACTCAAAGCCCACTCCATGCCAAGTTCTCTTCCTACCACTTAACACACTCTTCTACCAATCTGTATTCCATGCCTCTGTAGGGCTGTTCCCTCAGAGTAAATGTTCTTCACATGTCATCTTTCCTTCCTTGCTTTCTTGGCTTCCAGCTCCAGCTTGGTCCTTACAGCCTTTCTGAAACTTCCTCTGATTTCTCCAGGCACAGGCCTTCCTTCCTCTGGGTCCCCACAGTGCTGTCTTTCATAATCGTATCAGCACTCTTATAATGGTGAATTATAGATATATTTTAAGCCTGACACCCCCACGCTCTCTTATTTGTCCCTGAGTTCTGCACATGTCTGGCCAAGAGGTGTCCAACACATGTTCCTTGATTGCTGGATTCTCTCTCTCAACCTTGGCATCCCCTAAAGCTGGTGGATCTTGTCTCCGGAGTCAATGACATAATATATGGGGAAGCAACAACCTGCTATTTGAATAGCAGCAATTACTATGTATAATCTGTACTGTCTGGGCACCTCTCAAGGTCTTTGTGTACTTCAACCTTTATAAGCTCATGTTTAAGCTCCTCTCTTAATCATTTGCAAGGTAATGAGGTATACAGGAAATCCAGGGAGGCTAAGGGGGGTGGGCTGCCCATCTGCTTTTGCAACAACTCTAAATTCTCCTTGGGAAACTGTTACAAGACTACATTTTCACATGAAGCTGCTAATAAGTCCCTTCCAGCTCTGTAGTCTTTGACAATCAAACAGGAAACAGACCTTTAAAAAGAACTTTACCAGGTCTCCCTGGTTACACAAAGGGTTAAGCACCACACTATGAAGCAATCCGCAGCCTCTGGAGCACAAGTTCGATCTCCTATCCCTGGCTGGCCAGGGAGAAACCCACATGGCGCAGCAGACCTCTTCTGTCTCACCCGCTGCTCCCCTCAGCAGGTCAATCTGCCTGTTCTGTTCCCCACTCTGTCTCTGGTGAATCCTCTCACACCCCCCACCCCCTGCATCTCTGGCCTGTACCCCAGCTCTTGTATGCATAAATAAATAAATAGAAAAAAAATTAAAAAAAAAAAAAGAACTTTACCAGTAGGAAACCCTGATCACTGACACTTGGTGACATCTCATGTCAAAAAAGACCCAAAGTCTCCCAAGAGAGCCGTGGAGCAGCCCTTTCAAATTTTATTACATAATGATTCCCAGATTATATAATGAATGCTCATGTGACAATGATCAAGCACCTCTACTTCCTCAGAACCAACAATGTGAACAACCTACCCACTTCTTTCTATTTTTTAGGTTTTTTTTTTAATCATAAAGTAACACATGAATTTCAAAGGTACAGTATGGAGGTATATAGAACAAAACTACACTGTGACCTAGCAATTTGATGTATTGGAATCCACAAGGGAAAAAAACATAAGTGGGCTGTGAGTTGAACACATGAGAGCATCATGGTACTGAAAAAGAAAACCCAGCAATATTCTAACTGTCCATCAACAGGGAAATGGTATCTCCACAATAATAGCTACCGTGTATCACTTTAAAAGGATGATATAAACCTATGCAACTCTGCAAGACATAACTACGGAGTGAAAAAAGAAAGACATACCTTGAAATGAAAAACAAAATGTATAACATGCACACACATGTCACTGGGAACAATAATACAGATCTACATAACAGTTTACAAATGCGTGTTATGTGATATTTATTAATATCTTTCTCCCCCAGAAGTCAGTACACTCCATGACAGCAGGGCTATATCTGCACACAATTACATCACTACCACCTGCCACATATACATACTACCCAATATACAATAGGGGGTTCAACAGTATTTCTGATGGGAATTTTCATTGAATGCATGCAATGTGGTAGGCTTGATTTTAGATTTAAGGGGCATGACTGTGAGCAAGACAGACACAGTCCCTGCCATCAAGGAAGGTATGGTTTCTTTAACAGAAAGAGAATATTAATAAAATAGGAGTAGGCTGTACTAAAAGACTGTAAGGGCTTCTCTGGTGGCACAAGGGGTTAAGCACAGCACTCTGAAGCTATCCAAAACCTCTGAAGCATGAGTTCCATCCCAGGCCTGCCAGGGAGAAACCCATGTGGCACAGCAGATCTCTCCTGTCTCGCCCGCTGCTCCCCTCAGCAGTGGATTTCAATCAGTCTGCCTGTTCTGTTCCCCACTCTGTCTCTGGTGAATCCTCTCACCACCCGCATCTCTGGCCTATAACCCAGTTCTTGTATGCATAAATAAATAAATCTTTTTAAAAAAATATAATTCAGGACAGAACATGGTAAATGTTATGAGAGGGGTTTAGAGCTCAGAGAATGAAGAAGTGACTTTTGGCAGGGCAAACTTATGATGACCTCAGGGAGGAAGTAGCATTTGATCTGGGCTGTGAGTTAAACATTTGAGATGCCCAGCTTTCCTTCCAGCTGGAGGAAAGAAAGCAATCAAAAGCAAGAACTAGAAATTGAAACTCGACTGCCTACATGAATAGAAGGGGGCTGAGCAGGTACTTCATTTCCATAGCCACCTTCTCCACCTTCTAGATTGTACTGGCATCAGCAGTAACGTAGCTAACATAGTACCTGGCTCATAGTGAGCGCTCAATAACTAATTCATAGTAAGCACTGAAATATTTTAGTGAGAAAACACATATTGTTGAACACACCTTGCTCCTACTGATTGTCAAGTTCCCAGCTGACGGTGACCAGATCTTCAGGTGTCTGTAGTTCAAAGCTGGAAATTGAGATTTTTGCATAACATTTCTCAATTATAATAACTGTACTTCCTCCTAGCTGGTATGAGAGCCTGCAAGTAATGACATCCCTGTAGCAACAAGCACCTAGCAGCCAGATCTTGCTTTATAAATACCATTCTTCACTAAAAGAAACCAAAGCTTCTTAGAGAAAGGACTGCTTCTCTGGGCTGGGGAAGGGAAATTGCAACGTGAGCCTAAATATCTTATTAAGTAAGGAAGTGGCGAAGAATAATGGGACCAGTCAAAAGGACCCAAAAGCCAGCTGAGAGGAGTTCCTAATTGGGACTATTTAAGCATCAAAATAAATAAATAACGATAGTACCAAGTTCTAGTACTAGTTTAATGGAGGCGGTGGAGAATCTATGATCCAATATTGATGCTAAACATGAAGACGTAAAATAACCTCATGTGGCCAGAAGAACACATCTAGGGCCGTGTATGGCCCTGGTGCTAGGGCCACTGTACTAATGATGCCTCCTGCACTAATGATGAATGAGGAACTAGGGGCTGAGTGCACACAGGGAGCTGGGTATTGGGGTGATGGGAGATCAACCAGCCTCTGAGTACCTCGAATTTTAGACCTAGAGTCCGGATTTGACCCTGTGGGCATGTGGGAGCCACCGAAGGTCTGTAAACAGGAAAGGTAGACCATCCATTGGTCTCCAGACCATCTGTTGGGGTGTGGACTCAACAGAGAGGGTGATGGACAAGAAATCATCATTAAAGTCATGGAATGAGGCCTCCCGGGTGGTGCAAGGGGTTAAGTCTCAGCACTATCAAGCTATCGGCAGCCACTGCAGCACAAGTACAATCCCAGGGCGCAGCAGACCTCTCCTGTCTCCCCTGCTGCTCCCCTCAGCAGTGTATTTCAGTGGATCCGCCTGTTCTGCCCCCTACTCTGTCTCGGGTGAATCCTCTTACCTCCTCCTCTCTGCACCTCTGGCCTATACCCCAGCCCTTGTATACATAAATAAATAAAATAAATCTTTTAAAAAAAAAAAAAGTCCCTAGGGAATATGTGGTACAGTGGAACAGACCTGCAGGGTCTTACTTACAGATCC